TGTATCACAAGAGACCTATTCGCATTTCCTTTCATCTGCCCCGCCTAGACAGATTGGATACTACTCAGTGGAGAGTGCCTTCCTCCATGGCTCTCTGGATCTAGATTTCTTCCTGAAAGCTTGTAAGCCAGTCACTTCATGCCTTTGAAGCCCCCTCCCCCTCTCATTTTGGGCAGCCAATGTCCATGTTGCCCATCCCGGTCTACTGTGTGTATGGAGGGGGTGGTGGGACTAACATCTTCTTTTGATGCTTTCTGCATCATTCAATAATTTCTCCAGAGAATTTTTCAATAATTAAATTTGAGGCTTGAATTTTTCTTCAGTTCTCCCAGCTTGAGAAATGCTGAGTGTGTTCTTCCCGTTTGGTTTTCTGACTCCAGATCTTTGCACATTTTGTTGTAATATTTGGCTTTATCTTCTTGAGCTGATCTTTGAAATTTTCTCTTCAGCTCTTGTACCTCCTCATTTCTTCCATTTGCTTCAGTATCTCTATGCTCGAGAGCAGGTTTCAGTGTCTCTTCCAAACAATCTGCTTCCTTAGGCATTGATTATGGGTCCAAGTAAAATGAAATCTGAAGAATCCTGCTCCTGATCAACAAGATGCCATTGTAGCTGCCCCCAAGTGGTGCCGAATAAAGTCCTGCTTAATCTTCTGGTCTCCTGAAAGCTTAAGTCTTTATTACACTAAGAGACCCTCACCCAGTAGTTTCCGGTTTCAGGAAAATTTCCATAACACCACCCACTGGAAGCTTGCTAGAACCGTACCTGGGTGGCACCGCCTTAAATACTCTAGTCTGTAAGATCTCTCCTGACTGTCCCTAGGTTTACTCTCAGTAACCTGCCTGTTGAAGCCAAGTTTCTCTCCTCTTCCCTTTCTTTCTTATTTCTTACAGTATACAAAATTTGCTCTTGTGTAATTAGTGTTTTATATTAAATCAGATAGGACAAAAGAGACTTTATAAGCAAAAGGTACATTAATACTGACTTTTATATTTACGTGCAGCGAGCATCCTCATGTTGCAGCATTTCTGATAGAATTGGTCCTACTAGGACAAAGTCAGTTTATGTTTCTCTGGGGATGTCTTAATGGCGCCTTCAGTTTTGAAAGATGCTTTAGTTGGACACACAAGTCTTGGTTGACATTTTTTCTTTTAGAACATTTCAGATATAGATCCTTCTTATCAGACTACGGAAGTTCCCTTACTCCTAATTCGTTGAGTTTTGTTTTTTTTATCATGAATTAATGTTGGATTTTATCAAATGCATGGATCTATTGAAATGATCATTTCTATTATTTTTATTGTTCCTTTAGTGAATCATGTTGATTTATCTTGAAATGTTAAATCAACCTTGCAATCCTGGAATAATTTGTATTTGATAATTTACATAACTTTTGGCATATTGTTAGATTTGATTTGCTTAAAAAGCATAAATTTTTTGCAGCTATGATCTGTGTGTTCATGAAGTCCTTTTCTCTTTTTTGGGGAGGAGGGTGTCATCTGTTTTTCATTATGCAGGCCTCAGAAACTGAGACGATAGAGATCCCTCCTGTTTGGAGGTGTTTAAGATTGGTGTCATTTCTTCCTAGAGTATTTGGTAGAAAAAGCATCACATCCTGGAATTTTCTTTGTGTGAAGGCTTTTTTGTTTTTCCTTCATTACACATTCCATTTTCTTAATAGATAATAGTCCTATTCAGATTTTTATTTCATCTTAAGTCAGTTTGTAAGGTGTATTTTTTAAGGTGTTTGTCCAATTTGTCGAATTTTTCCTATTTCTTACCCAAAGCTGTTGACACTCTCCTCTCATTTCCTGTTTTGTGCTTTGGAGAAGGAGCCGCTCACTCACTGCTCTGGGGACAAGTTGCTCACTGTTGCTGTTACTCTCAAAATTCAACTTTTGTTTTATTAAAATTCTCTGTTGTTTGTCTAGTTTCTAGTTTGCGTTTACTGCTCTTCACTAAAGATGAGACTTTCTGCTCCCGTAAAGATTTACAACCTCGGAAACCCTGTACTGGGTCGCTATGAGTCGGAACCGACTATGTCACATAACAACAAGAAATACGTTATTGTGACTAATTCTGCCGATTTTCATGTTATTATTATTCAGTTTTAAATGTTTTCAGGTGTCCTCTTTGATCTGCACGTTTATTTAAAGTGTGGGATTTGTTTCTACAAATTTTATTCTCAAGGGCAAAAAACATACTGTGTATTTCCCACTGAAGTTCATGGACACTTGTTTTAAGACCTAACATGTGGCATGTTTTGGTAACCGTAAAAGAATCACTTGAAAATGTCAATTCTATGACTGGTGTGTTCTGTCCATATTCATTAGGCTGTGAGTCAGTTTTGATTCATAGTGACCCTGTTTCCAGAGGTTTGAACTGCTGACTTTGCAGTTTGTAGTCCAGTGCTTAGCCTATAGCACTTTGATGGAGTTTTGCTGTTGTTACAGTTCTGTCAGGTTCTGACAGGGGTGTTAAATTTTTCTCAGCTTTTGGAGTTGCCTCTCTGTCCCTTTCGCTCTCTCCATTTTTGCGTCTTGTGTTAGGAAGCTGCGTCTTCAGCGTGTGTCTCTTACGTGAAGTCGATTATACAGTATGATACCTCTGCCTTTTCATTGGCGTCTTCAGTGACTCGGTGTTAGTGGGTAAGCCCACTCACACTGAATTTGATCTCATATTTGACTGCTTCCTTTCTGCTTGTTCCCTCTGGGTTTCTTCTCCCTTTCCCTTTCCTACCTTCTTTCGTTTCATTGAATATTTGTTGTTAAGTGTTTCCTTTCCATTTTCTCTTCACTTTTGACTGTTCCATTTTGTATGTAGTGGCATCTCTCCTGGCAGGCAGTATGGCTGGGTCGCTGTGTATACCAGAGGTCCTGCCTGGTGCCTTGTCAACCCCACAACGCGGCACCGGAAATTCGCCCAGTTCCATACTCTGAATTTTGGTGTCTACTTTCTCATGTTCCCTTTTGTCTTGTAGATTAGCCTGACATGGCTGACCAGCGGCAGCGCTCTCTCTCTACCTCTGGGGAGTCCCTGTACCACGTGTTAGGGCTGGACAAGAACGCAACCTCAGATGACATAAAGAAGTCTTATCGGTAAAACGAAAGCATGGCTCCCACTCCCCAAGAGCCCACACCTGCCCCTGGTATAGCTCCGTGTGTTTGACTAGGAAGTATGGCGGACTTGTTTATCCTGGCTAACTGCCAGTTAACTATAACAGTGGTGTTGCCTATCTGCATTAGCAGTGAGTACGCCACTGAACTTGGGCACTGAGTTCTCTCCTGAGTCCAGAGAGACACTGGCTGTCACTCAGCCCAGGCATTTCCTGGAGCATCCTGGGAGTCACACTAAACAGACACTAGCGCCATCCTCTGTGTCCTGTATGGGGAATCAGGTGGCAACAGGGTGGGCCTTCCCCGCTGGAAGTTCATAGACATGGTCCTCGGCAGCTAGTCCAGTCATGCTGCTGTGGCGAGGGCTCCCAGGGTATGTGACCTGATGGGTTTCCATGGCCTCTGCTGGGCAGGAAGGGGGTGGGCCTTCTGACCCCAGCATTCTGGAAAGTGGCATCTGACACTTCCTCTGCTGTGCCCCATCCAATGGTGGGTGTAAAACTCTAGGCTGCATTTCAAACTAGGAGATGGCTTTGGTTTGCAGGAAACTTGCCTTGAAGTATCACCCCGACAAGAACCCTGATAACCCAGAGGCCGCAGACAAATTCAAGGAGATCAACAACGCACATGCGATTCTCACCGATGCCACAAAGAGGAACATCTATGACAAGTACGGCTCCCTGGGACTCTACGTGGCTGAACAGTTCGGCGAGGAGAACGTCAACACCTACTTCGTGCTCTCCAGTTGGTGGGCCAAGGTAAGGGGAGGGCTCCAGTCCTTCCTGGGAGAGATGACTTCTGGGAAAGATAAGGCACTGGCCATCTCTCCTCACAGGCAGGCTCTGGTCCCTAGAAGGCCAGGACAGCAGATTTTTGTTCTGAGGGAAGACTCACTTGAAATCTGACTGTAAAAATGTTTGGCTTATATCAGTATCTATTTTTTTCATCTACCTGGCTTCATTTATGGCCTTTAACGATCGATCCACGTGTCAGGTACGCAGCCGGAAGGCCTTTAGCTGCAGGGAAACCCATTTTTGGCAAATTTGCTGGTCAGCACCAACCCTTGTCTTAATAAAACCCCTTTCTGACAGGCCTGTCTTCCCTAGGGCTCTCTTTCTTGGTCCCTTTCTGACAGGCCTGTCTTCCCTAGGGATCTCTTTCTTGGTCCCTTTCGGACAGGCCTGTCTGCCCTAGGGATCTCTTTCTTGGTCCCTTTCGGACAGGCCTGTCTGCCCTAGGGCTCTCTCTCTCCCTTTCTTGGTCCCTTTCGGACAGGCCTGTCTTCCCTAGGGCTCTCTTTCTTGGTCCCTTTCGGACAGGCCTGTCTGCCCTAGGGCTCTCTCTCTCTCTTTCTTGGTCCCTTTCTCACTGCACTGGTCCTTCTCGCCGTGCCCCCCCCAGGCCCTCTTCGTCCTGTGCGGGCTGCTCACCTGCTGCTACTGCTGCTGCTGCCTCTGCTGCTGTTTCAACTGCTGCTGCGGGAAGTGCAAGCCCAGGCCGCCGGACGGCGAGGAGGCCGAGGTCTACGTGTCCCCCGAGGACCTGGAGGCACAGCTGCAGTCGGACGAGAGGGGTGAGTGCACCTGCCCGCGCGGTGCGGGTTCCTGGGGCGTCCGAAGGAGCCCTGAGTGCGTCCCCTGTCTCGTCAAACAGGAGGGCACTGAGCCTGTGCGGGCGTGTTTGTGGTGGCGGCTGGCGAGTGTGCGGACGCCGGAGGTAAACGCGGACTCGCCGAGCAGTCCCGCTGAGACTGCACGCAGCCGTGCGAGGGCCAGCACGGGCCGGCGGGCAGCGGGCGGGCTGGTGGGACGGAGGCCACTGGGCAGGTGTGCTGGTGTGAGCGGACACTATCCCGCGGTACAGCCAGTGGTCAGTCTGGTGCTCAGGCGGCACCTCATGCACTGAGGGGGCCCTGCTTGCTTTTCAGAGGCCACAGACACGCCCATCGTGATCCAGCCGGCATCTGCCACGGAGACCACCCAGCTCACAGCCGATTCTCACCCCAGCTACCACACCGACGGGTTTAACTAAGCCCGCCACCGCTGCGAGTAGACGGAGCCGCCACCGCACGGCCACCTCCCCCTAGAACAGAACATGGACTGTAGGCGTGGGCCAGGGGCGCCTGGGGGGGAGGGCAGCGCCGCCTAGGGGTGCCCCACTTGCCGTACCCTGACTCGTGACGTGCGTAGCATGCAGTATTTAAAGCAGTTCCGCTACGGTCTTCTTCTTTTTCTCCTTTTTAATAGCATGTATGGGGTGATGTCCATGTCTGTCCGTGTTGTGGGTGCCCCACGCCAGTCGAAAGCACTGGGACCAACTCTGCTGCTTGGCCTGGCCCCAGCGGGACCCATCTCTGGGCTCCGCCCCCAACGTGCCCCCCACCCCGCGCCCCCTGTTGGTGTCAGGCAGTTAGCACAGAATCTGCTCACCTTGGTGGTCTGCACCCGTGGTCTGGTTCCCGTGGGTAAAGTCACGTGGGAAGTGTAGGAAGAGTCCCTTTCGATGTTGAAACCAAATTCTTCACCCGTGTTTGTGGCTGTAGCTTCTGTATCCCTGCGACTCTGAGGTTTCGGTCCCTCTGGGCATCCCCTCCCACCTGTGATGTTTTCCATCCCTCCTCCTGCCCCGAGGCCCACAGCTGCCCAGGGCAGGGCAGGTGGGTACCCAGCAAGCAGGTGGTGGCCACATTCCGCACGCACGCTCCCTGCGCATTCCTTCCAGCTCTAAGCCGTCTTTGTCCCTCTGTGATTGCTGCGATCCACTGCGATAGCCCCAGCCCCAGCTCACCACAGGGTTGGGGGTGGGGAGGGGGTGTGAGCTTTCAAGGTTACAGGTTTTCTAGGCCTCTGGAAGGCAGGTGGGGTGCCCCTTTGAGTGGTACATTATGAACTATGGGAAGCCCCCATGTCCTCACCGGGGCAGGTGCAGCTCTGCACACAGGAACCAGGGAAATTGGGCTATGTATGGTTCCCAAACAGACGCCTGCCACTTGGGGAGGAGGAGGATGCCTCCCTGCGAGCCCACTCATACACTGGAGCACCCACCCCTGAAGAGGGTTAGCTTGACCCAACCAGGAAGTGGCCAAAAGACAGTGATGTGAAGATAGCCTGGAGGGCCGTGCACACGGGTCAGGTGTCCTGGTCTGCCCCACGCCACTTAGACTGTGCTCCTCTGGAGGATCTTGGAGAGACACTCAGGGAGAGGGACACGGAGTGCACGCTGAAATTCGGACAGTGTTGTGCAGTACAGCCCCCCTGAGGAGATATGGAAGAAGGGAGACAGTGGGGCCATCCTGTGCCAATTCCAAACACAACCCCCACAAAGAATTTGGCTGAGATGCTGTAATAAGCCCTTGTAACTCTGGAAGTAACTTTTAAAGTGAGTGGTTTTTCCCCAGAATGACCAAGAACCGAGTTCAGACTTGGACTTAAATTCCCTGTGAGGTAGAAAGCCACGCTGCAGCAAAGATGGCAGGGTGCTGCCTGGGGGGGTCCATGCCCAGAGGGACCTGGATGGCACCCCCCCTGCTCCTGCCCTCAGCTTCGTCTGCCCCACCCGGTCCTACCCAGTGGCAGCTCTGGCGGGAACCCAGCCCTTTTCTCGTGTGTCAAAGTGAGTCCCAGTCAGAGTCTCATCCACGCTCCTCAGTAGCCCGCCTTTCATGGGAACAGACGTGGAACGTGTTGGCCCAGGTCCTTCTCTGTAGAATTTGTAAAAACGAAATAAATGATGACGATAAGAGCCTGTTTTTGATGCTTCCAGGGTCCCTCTGGGCAGGGAGGAGGGTCCTAAACAGCACCACGTGCATCAGCTGGAGGTGCTGGGCCTGGCCCTGAGGTGACAGCTGTCATCTTCATCTGTGCATGTGCTAACATGGGGTGCCCCGATGTTCACATGGTTCCGTTGACTGGGTCAGCCCAGGGGTCACCAGGAGTCCATGGGCCCGGGGCCCTGGGAAACTAAAGCTGCACAGACCCCCCACCCCCACCCCCCAAGAGCATTTGTCCTGGTTTTATGTTTAAACTCCTTAGTTGTCAGTGCCTGCTATGTGGGCCTCCTGGGCTGCAAGGCTGGGTCTGTGCAGACAGCCGCCAGCAAGGGTGTCCACGAAGGAAGGACAGAGCTCTGAGGCCTCTCAGACCCCATGGCCTGGGAGCGCTATGCCCTGGCGGATGTAGCCTCCTCCATGGACCCTGCCCCCCAGGTCTGCACACAGAGGGGTGGGTAGCAAGCAGGGCTGTCCTTCCCTGAATGTCACTCAGAGCTGTGAGCTGTTACCTCATGAGCCTCCCTCCTGTGGAGTCTGCTGTTTCAGTCGTGTGGGCATGCCCCATATGTACACGCATGTTACATGTATGCACTCGGGGAGCAACGCAAACAGGAAAGCTGGCCCTGAACTGCAGGGCAGGACGCTGCTTCCAGTCGCTCAGAGGGTGACCCTGCTCCCCTTGGTGGTCTCCGTAGTGGCAGTGGGTTGTACCCATAACCCAGGGCAGGCTGTGGTGCTCACAGGGATGGCCCCTGCCCACCCTGAGGGGCTCTACCACACTCCCCTGACCTTTGTGTGGCCCCCTGTGGAGGGAGGACGCAACTGCAAAACTCAAATTTCTAAGATCAGACGCTGTCAGTGACCAGAGTCGGTTCCCTAGAACTCGGGAAGGGATCGAAGGGTCATAGCAGTCCAGCTAGGGGACGAGTTGAGGACCCTCCACCAGGAAGGGGCTTTGCTAGATCCTCCAGCACCATCTCTTGGCAGATTTTGTGATCCCTGGTGAGGAAGGGCGTTTACACTGAAAGAAACATTTGTTGTTCTCAAGATTTAAACTGCCCTGGGGGCAACTGACCACACAGATTGAGCCCCAGAGGTGGCTGTAATGGGGCTCCCATGCCGGTGGAAGACACAGGGATCCCAGTTGTGAACGTCCACCTGAAACACCCTACCCTGTAGACCTCCACAAGCCCGAGACACCCAGGAGGGCCCAGCTCCGGACCCAGGCCTCATTTCCATCTGTCTGGCCCAAGTGAGGACAGGCACCTCTTGACTGCAGGGACACAGAGGTTCGTTTATAAGTGGGTCTTCAGGTACCCACCTCGGAAGTGAGGTTCTGAGTGATAGGTCTTGGGCTCCTGGCCTGGAGTCCTTCTCTTTCCGAGCCAATGGTCACCACCTTTAGTCACCATTGTCCCCACCTGAGTAGCAACAATGAACTCATCCTCTGCATCAGCTCCTGGTCACTCCCTCACGCTGCTGTCCCTCTGCTGTGCTTGGTCCTTGGAAGGGCAGGGCTGTGCTATCTGGTGCACAAGATATGGCCAAAGTCTGGCTTGAACTGCTGGGGGTAGGGGGCGCCCAACCTGCCCCTTGCCGGCACGATGGCTCGGGCAACCACATGCACTGTCCTCAGGAGTCACGTTCCCTTCATAGTAGGGAGAAGCAGGGTGCTCGGGCCTCTTTCTCCAGCTGTGGGCCAGCACCTTCAAGAGTTGCCACTTCTGGATGGGGGTGTACCTGCTAGGGCCCCGTGACTGCCAAAACTGGAGCCGCGGTTACCACCCCACAAGTCCTGCGCCCAAAAAACCCCACTAAGAACCCCCCCCCAACACACACCCATGCTCAGAACTAAGAAAAACCGCCTGATGGTGTTGCAGGCCCGTATGTTCCTCTTCCAGACACTTAAACGTCTTAAACTACAAGAGCACCACTAGGCTCGGCCAGGCCGTCACCGTAGCGTGGGCGACGATGCTGCCTTACCTCTCGCGAGTCATCTGTGGGACCCACAAATAACTACGGGCCACGGCCTCTTAGGGTCGCGGTAAGCATGCGCCTGCATCCTGCCCCAGGCTTCCGGCCCCGCCCCCTGCGCCTGCTCATAATTCTGCTGTTGAAGTCTTGCAAGGCGTACGCCCAGGAGCCGCCGCACCTGGCCTTGGAGAAATCCGGACAGCTTTCCACGTCCACGTGTCCCCAAGCTGCACTGTGGCTCACCGTTCCCGCCTCTGCACAGCAAAGATCCTCCCCACCAGTCTTTTAAATAAAATAAGCACCATTTTCCTTACATCGACTCCACTGCACACAGCCACCCCCACCACCATTTTCCTTATTGTTTAGCCTTCTGATTTTTCCTGCTCAGCTTATTTTCAAGACTTTAACAATAGGGTTCTTGTAGAAATAGGAAATAACATTAAGCTTTAATGAAGTCCAAGGCGGCGTAGAGGGACGCCCGCGTATCTAGGTTCACCTTCCCGGGCCGGGACCACCGATCTAGGTCTGGGGGCACCGCCTTGGGTCTGGGTGCACTCTCTTCTTCCAGATCCGTGAGTCTTTGCGGTCACTACCACCACACCACCACCCTTATCAGAGAACCGTGGGATCGTGAGCAAGGAGGCTGAATGGAACTTGGGAATGTTCCTATGGCCGGTCAGGCCCCTCTCACGCTCGGCGTCCAATCTCGGGTCTCTGGCGCCAGGTCGCGCTTCCCCTCCGCTGATCCTGCCGAGGTCGTTGTGCGAGCTGGAGACCGCAGAGCATAGCCAACCCGGCGGCTCTCCCGCTCGCAAAGCGCCCTGGAGGCGGACTGCACGCGGAACCCTCCCCTCCCGGAAACTTTCTACTAGCCCTCGCGAGGAGATGAAGGAAAAATACGCTTCTTCCGCTGTGGGCGGGGTCAGGAATCGGGACGCGAGGCTATGTGTGGGCGGGGTCTGGGACTGGGTCAAGCGGTGGGGTGTGGCCTTACGAAGGAGCAAAACCTCTCCCTAGACTTCCGAGACCGAATTCCCCTAATCATAGCCGGCGTTAGGGTACTGTCCCTAGGTGGCAACATAAAGCGGACTCGCAGCCATACCCATGGGGTGGTGGCAGGAAGCGTCCAGAGGCGCCTCCGCGCGGGCTCGGGACCACAGGTTTCACTTCCGCAGGCTAGCTTCCCGAGACGCGGAGCGCGCTCAGGGTTTCAGACGGCCGAAGCCCTAGCACTCATCCCCGCCACGCAGGAGGCAGCAGAAGCAGTTCTGAGCTAAGAGTCCAGCCGGGAGTCACCCTCAGAATCAGGACTCCAGCGAGGCGCGCGGCGGCTCTGGAGCCAAAGGCGCCCTGGGCAGCGACTCCAGTGGAGAATCCCACGGGAGCCTTCTCCGCTCAGATTCTCGCACAAGTGTTCCAGCCCCGTGGGGCGTCACCAGCGTCACCATTTGAAGAGTTTTGTTCCAGAAGCTAGAGGGGAAGACGAGGTGGTCACTGACCTGCCCCGCCCCCCGCAGAAGCAGAGGCAAACGCCTGCAGGGTCGGCTGGTCTGAGGGCCTCAAGGAAGCGTCCCATTGCTCAATAGACCAGGATGAGACTTCATGTTGTACCCTGAGGACAACAAGTACCAGACTCCAGGAGGAGTCCTACCAAGACCCGGGGACCGTCTGAAGGAGTGTGCCGTGGCGCATGAGCAGCCGGAGTGGCCCCTGTGTCTTTCCCACTCCAAGTATCCAGCCTCTGCCCAAGGTTTGCTCACCCCTCTCGGACATTCACATCACACCGTCGAGGCTTGGAGTCCCAGGCCACCACGTTGGACTTCATGCTACAGGAACGGGGAGGGAATGAAGCTCAGTGGGCTGGGGAATAGATCCTGCCCCAGCTAACCCACATGGTCCCACACAGCGTCACTACTGAAGTCAAGGTTGCTGCCAGCCCTGAGCCCATCCAGGGTCAAACCCACCCACTACCCTCCAGTTAGCTGTGCCTCTTGACCTGTGGACCTCGGTACCCCCACTCACCTCCACCCACAACTCACCAGCTTAGAACCTTCCATAGATCCTCAGCTTAACCTTTGAGAACCTGACAATCACCCCCAGCGTGGCTGTCTTACTTTGCTCCTGCAGGTGTCTTTCAAAATGGGTCTTTCCGCAGGACTCTGGAAGGCCTGGGGTGCTGGCTGAGGCCACTGGACCAGGTGGGAGGGTCCTACCTGAGTCAGGTACCTCCCCTTTTCCCCAATCCTCCCTCTTCGACCTGCTTGGAGCAGGTTCAGTGAGTACACGGGACCCTATCCGTGCCCATGTGACAACCATGCGTGCCTCCTAGGGGATCTGGCCTTCCACTGGGCCAAACCAGAGCATCCAGCCCATCTCAACAGTCCTGTCGCAGCTTGGCCCTTGTCGTGGAAGGGCAGCGCCTCTCGGGCTGACGAACCTGAGACTGAGTCTTCAGCCTCACATTCTCAGATCAGACAGTCCTGGAGGCACTGCCCAGGGAGCGGCCAGAGCCTCACCCCAAGTGTGAGCAGCTCTCTGAAGACACATGTACGGATTCAGGGCCTCATCCTGCCACCCTTCCTGAGACTATGCTCTCAAAACTCCCCCAGCTCTGCTGAGCCCCTTGCAACCAGTGTTCGAGAGTCCCCAATCTGTCCTTGGAATCCAGCAGCTAGCTCTGTGGAGGGCTGTGATGACCCTGTTTCCTAAGATGGGGAGGTTGTACCCATCCCCCACAAGAGCTTCCATCAGCCCACTAACCCGTGGCCGAGTTTTCGTATGATCAGGAGACCCCTGCCTGGATAAAGGAACTAAGTCAGGCCCCCTGGATTAAGCCTACCGACCCCAGGCCTACCAGCAATCCACTGGTCCCCGTCACAGGACCTCCTGACGGGCTGCCCCAGGGGCTGGCAGCTAGGTGGGGTGGGATACAGATCCTCTCCAGGTTCTCATTGGTTGGGGTCATGGGCACATGTGGGTGTCCTTGGACAGGTTGCAGGCAGTTCTGAACACGTGGCGTGGGTGCGTTTGCGTGCTCTGGACCCTAATTTCTGGTCTGGGAAGGTGGGGTGTCCAAGGACCCCAGAGCCTGTGTCCCCAAACAGAGAAAGGTCTGCTGGGGGCCTCATACCCGCCCTCTCCAGTCTCCCAATCCCCTTGAACTAACCCAAGACTCCACTGGACAGAGGCCATATACCTGCTGTAGTACAGGGCACCCAGAAGGGAAGGAAGAGGCCTGGGACATGGGAGAGGGTCCACTCACCGGCATATGGGAGACATCCCTCCTGCTCACCTCTGGCCCTGTGGTGGCCATCTCTGTCTTGGGTGTCTGCCTCCCCTCGGACAAGTCTCCTGCCTTTATCTGCCCCACTTGACCTGGCCCCCACCCATCGACTTCCTGTCCCCGCCCCAAGACAGACAGGCTTTTCCATGACATGGCCTTTGTGTGGTGGTGGTGGTGGTGGGGCACCCAAAAAGGTCAGGGAGGGGCAGGAAAGGGCTGAGGCCAGGTCTAGAGAGACAGAGAAGGGGGCACTGTATTGGCATCCCAAGTCAGCCCAGAGCTGTGCAGAGATCAGGGCTCCATGGGTGCTCCCCATGGACATGGGTGCACAGGTACACATGCGCAGCTCGGCTTCTCTGCCCTCTGAACCCAGGCACACAGACCCAAAGCCTGCCCTCACGCTGACGCCCTGGCCATCTCCCCTGGTGGAGACTCCTGTCATCCAGGCGGCAAGTCACTGCCGCTTACAGCTACCCACATGGCTCCTGGTGGTCGGCTTCTTCTGGCCTGGCCTCTCAAGGGCCCCATCGTTCACCACCCCCCTCACCCCCCAGATCCTGTCCCCCTTCCCAAAATCAGGTCTGGTGGCCCTCAAGCAAGAGTTTCCAAGCTGTCTCGTGCCAAGCCCTGGACCACAGGGAAACCGGCTCAAGGGACAGGGGTGTGTCCCTTGACTTCCCCCCATGGAAGTCCTGCAGTCTGGTCAGCACTCCTGCCTCAGACGCTTGTCCCCAGGCCAGCTTCATCCCTTTCACTCCACAAGGAGAGTAAACTATACCACACATGGCTTTTTATTATTAAAATAAGTTCGTGTCTTTGTAACTTGCAAGCTTAGGCCGGGAGACAGAAAGACAACAGGACAGGGCAGGGAACAGTGAGCCTGGGACACTAATTCGTGGCGACCATTTCCTCCTCATCACTGCCGTCAGGGACTGCGTCTGTCCCAAAATAGCGGTCGCCAAAGTTCCCTGGAGAAGCAGCAAGTCAGGGGTACACACACCCCGTGCCCGCGCCCCCCCCCCACACACACGCCCCCTCATGGGCACTCCCCTGGCCTGGGCTCCTGAGGCCTCACCGATGCCGGGGATGATGCGGAAAAGGTCGTTGACCCTTTTGTCCACTGCTGTTGTGATGATCTTCACGCGTGGGAAGGCGTACGCCACCGAGTGCACACCCATCTCGGCCATGAGCAAGGAGAGCAGGAAGATCTTGTCTTCCGGCACGTCATGGTCCTGGCGGGCAGAGTAGATGAGCCCGGCCCCACAGCCGGCCCAGCCCCAGGCCCACTCAACTCACCAGGAGCACGCGCACTGCCATCATGGCCGCAGCGCCCGTGGACACGGTGCAGTCCATCAGGATCACGTGGTCATCGCTGATATCCTTGGGCAGCCGCAGGTAGTGGAGCTGGGGGCGGCAGGGTCCGCGGGGGGGGGGGGGTCAGCGCTCTTTGCCCCGCCCCCATTTTCCGCTCACCCAGGGCTCCCCCCGCCCCCGCCCCTAGTTGGGGTCCCGCCCCTTTGCCCCTCACCTCGGGCTCGCCAGTGAGCTGGTTGGTCTGGATGAGAATTGTGCCGATGCGCACATCTTTGCACACAGCCCGCAGCGCAGGCTCCATGGTCTCACCGGCTCGCAGAATGGACACGCCAGTGATCTGGGGAGGCCCAGTGATGGAGGGAAGTCAGTGAGGGCAGCTGATGGTCTTGGGGGAACCAGTGATGGGGGGCGTTGGCTGGTCATCCCCCCCCCCCAGCACCCCCACAGGTACCTGCTTTCCAGCGTAACACTTGCCGCAGTAGTCCTGGCCTTGCGGGGTCTGCACCACACACTCCTGCAAGCAGAACGGAAGGGCAGGCACATTGGAGCCGTGGAACCCCCGCCCCCGCCCCCCAGGACCCCTGCGCACCTGGAAGGGCAGGAAGGAGAGTGCATGCTCAATGAGGAGCCTCATCAGCCGTTTGGAGTAGAAGATGAACTCGTCTCGGCTGGTCTCCTTGTCTCTGTGGGTGCGCTGGCTCAGTAGGGGTTGTAGCCAGAATGCCCCCTGGGCCCCCTCCAGTCCACATGCAGATGGGTCCTTACCTGATGATAGTGTGCATGCCCCGCACCTGTGGGGTGCTCTTGAGGACACTCAGTGTCCGTGGCAGGGGGTGGCACTGGTGTGCAGAGGCCAGTGCGGCCCTGGGGGTACAGATGGTCAGTTAGGAGAGGACGGCTGCCTCTTGCCAGAGCCCTCAGGAGCTTTGGTCCCTGGTCCACCATGGGAGTGTGCACGTGTCCAATTGTGGGGCTGGTGGGCACAAGCCTGCTCAGAGGTGGGTGTGCAAAGTGAGGTTGACAACCTCTCTGGCTGACCTGGGGGCCCACACCCTAAAAGTCAAGATCAAAACACACCACACAGCCTAGAGCAGAGCAGCTGACCCTCAGGCAGGAAGCAGGGGGTGGGAGGCTGGGGTGTGCACAGGCCCTGCCTGTCCAGGATACCCCTCGGCTCAGGGAGAGCAGCCCCACCAACACCCCAGACCCTCTCCTGGGCTTTCTGGGGTGGTCTTCTGACCAGGGTGGTTGGCCTCCCCCAGATGGTGTGTGGCCCCCTCAAGTCCCATGGAGGGTACAGCTGGTACCCATGAGTCCAAGTGGTGGCTGCTGGGGGGAGGGGCACTGGCCAGGGCAGGTGAACATGCAGGGTGCGTGGGTGCGTGCGGGGGGCCGCCAAGCAGCACCAAAGGCCAGAGCACACTCTCCTCACATATCCCAACGCAGCTTCCTCTGCTCGCCACCAGGTGACGGTCGGGGAGGGAGCAGGCAGGAGGCGCAGGGAGACAGAGACAGAGAAAGGAAGAGAACAGAGAGAGGGCCTCTTAGTAGGGGGCCTGCGGGCAGGGCAGCACAGAAGGGACCCTCAGAACCTATGCAGAAGTGGCATGGCCGGCCTGGACCCTCCCTGGCACCCCCGACTGCACTTCCTGGGTCTACCCTCAGACATTTTGTCCAGTTTGAAACCCCAGAAACTTCCTCAGAACAAAGGCTGCAACAGGACCTGGTCAAGGTGAAAGCCACACAGAGACACATGCGATGGTGGTGATGATGATGACGGGGTGGGGTGGGGGTGGGGGTGAGAGCAGGTGTTGCCTCGTGCAGCAGTAGGTACCAGCAGGGTGGTCCGGAACCTTGCCAGGATGCGTGAAAGCTGGGTGAGGTGCTGACCACCCTAGCTGGCCGCAGTCTGGGTGTGTGCACACAAGAGCAGGGCCAAGACACACAGATGGATGGCCTGCTTTCTGCAGCAGCCACCACGGCTCCTGGGCCCCCGCTGCACTCCTGTCCTGCAGTGGGCTCCGTTCCTGTGGGGACCACCTGGGAAGCACCACCCTCTGTGGAACAGGTGTGGGAGGGGCTTACCTGACACTCAGTTCTCGCTGAAGCAGCAACACAGGAGACACAAGGGGGTGGGGGTGGGTGCGTCAGCAACAAGAGCACCAGCCCCGCCCCGCCCCCCCAGGAAGGGACCGCCCAGAGAGCCAGGTGCACAGCGGAGCAGTCAGTGTGAGGGTGGAGTGATAACCCTACTGGGTCCCCTGTCACCCCAAAGGGCTAGGAGGGAGTGGGTGTACTCCCCCTGTGCTCGGAGGGCTGAGGCTCCCATGGGTGGGCGGGCGGGCAGTTAGGCAGGTGGACGCCACGCTCACCTCCTCCAGCTGGCTGTGCACATGCTGCACAATCAAGTCAATGGCCACTGTGTTTCCGCTCCCTGGGGACAGGGCAGTGTTGGAGGGGGATGACACAGGCCTGTGTCTCCGCCCCCTCAGCAGGTACTCGGCTTACCCCTTGGCACCACGATGTCGGCCAGGCGCATAGTAGGCTGGATGTACTGGTCAAAGGCGGGCTTCACAAACTTGTTGTACTGTTTGATGACGCCCTCGATGTCGCGGCCCCGATCACTGATGTCACGGCGCAGACGCCGCACCAGACGGATGTCAGAGTCGGTGTCCACAAAGATCTTCATGTCCAGGAGCTGGGGGCACGGGGCCATCACAAAGGCAGGATGCAAGTGCCCCCACCTAAGTGCGTGGACACTGAGCATGTGAGGCAGTATGGAGCAGGATGGCGCCCCGATGCCCCCCCCCCCACACCTCTTCCCACTTGAGTCTGATTTGTCCCTCAGTATCCAGCAGGCCCCTCCCGTGGGCCTGCCTATACCTCCCAGAAAGCAACTCAGAAGCCACCCGAGCCCTCAATCCTTGGTCAGCATGTGACTGGGCCCACAGTGAACACACTGGGCCAGCTGGAGTTCACAGCAGAGCCATGGTCAGCTGGGTGTCCACACAAGGACAGGAAGGCCAAGTAGGGTGGTACACGTCCTCAGCTAAGGCCCTCCCACTCCACAACTCACCTCCAGCAGCGTCTTATCTGCAAAGGCCATGATGCCCTCAAAGATGATGACATTGGCACCATAGAGAATTTTCTGAAAGCAAGCCCACTTGGTTCCCCTCTGCCAGCCATGGCAGCCCCTTCACCCACCCACCCACCTTGGCTGCTGAAGCCACCGACCCACCCAGTCCTTCTTGCGGCTGTGGGTGGTAAAATCATAGATGGGTACTTTAACACTCTTGCCCTGTTTGAGCTTCTTCAGAGTAGAGATGATGAGGTCGAAGTCAAAGGCGTCGGGGTGGTCAAAGTTGAAGTTATTGTGTGCGGCCTGCCCCTGCTGCTGGCTGCTCAGCACCTGCAGTGAGTGGAGGCCAGCACGCAGCCGCTAGGGCAGGGGGCCCGGCCTCCTGGCTTGGCTGTGCGGTGGGGGCAGTGTGCACTGTGCAGGGCATGTGGGGGCCAGGGCCTCACCTTGTAGAAGGAGTCCATGGACAGCAGAACCACCCAGGGGACATCCAGGGCCTCAATGATCATCCTGGCCACTGTGGTCTTTCCGGAGGCGCTGCCGCCACCCAGGCCTACAGGTAATGCGGAGGTAGAGTTTGTCTGGGTCGCACCAACCTCAGAGCAGGAGATGCTAATGGCATGGGCACATCCTCCTGCCAGCTGTCAGGGCTCACCAATGACAAAGGCCTCCTTGGACTGGGTGCCATGCTCGTTGTACCAGGGCGGCCGCCCTGCCGTGTAAATGGTCCTCTTGCTGGTCCGCAGCAGGGGTGGCTCTGATTTACACTGGCTGGTTGTGCGCTTCCGGGGTGAGCGTCCTGTGGCCAGAGGCGGGAGGAGCCTGTCCAGGGACTCGGCATTGCTGCTGTGGGGGATGGGGAGAGTGTTGGCTAAGGGCTTGGGAGGCAGATACCTGGAGGGCCACCGAGATACCAAGGACCAGCGTCTCCCCCGTGCAGGACACTAAATTTTGTCATACCCTCCCTTCCCATATGGCAGGGCCAATGCTGAGGGGTCATAAGGTTCCTCAGGGACAAGGGGCGGCTAAACCGCCACACGGAGGTGTCAGTAGACACGTGAGCAGCAGGTAGTGACAGCCAGGGCTGTGACAGTGGGAACCATGGGGCCTGGACACCACGCCAACACCATTAATGACATCACAGCAAACGGCTGAGGCCACAGACATGGACATGCTAGGGCACACACACAAGATGGGAATGCCCACAGTGTCTGTGGTCTGTCTTCCTTGCCAAGAACTGGGTGGAGAATATGTCTCCCAGAGGTGGGCAGGAGAACCTTCAGAAGAACCCACACAGACAGGTGTCCTTCAGAAACAGTTAAGTGACTTCATAGGTCCCCCGCCCCTGTGAGCGTGACCTCATTTGGAAACAGCTCTTCTCTGTTAGTAAAGGGGCTGATGAAGGCACAATGGAGTGGGGTGGGCCCTAAGATACCAAGGAAGAGTAGACACGAGATGCACAGGAGAGATGTCGGGTGACAATGTATCTGCAAGCAGCAAGATACCAAATGATTGGCAACAGACACCAGACGCCGGGAGGGGGACATGAGGCGACCCCTCTCAGAGTCACAAAAGGAACCAACAGAGCCGGTATGCGGAGCTCAGATTCCCAACCTTCCAAACCATTAGACAATAAATTTGTGTTCTGTACGCCTCCCCATTTGATGATATTTTGTTATTTCAATCCCTGGAAATTAAGACAGATGAAAAGAACAAATGGTATTAAAATGTAACCTGTTTGTGTAAAATCCAGCAAATGTGTGAAATGTGTGAATGTTTATGAAAGAATATACAAGAGAGTACATTCATGTGCATGAGAACACAGGAGAGAATGTATATGGACATGAGATCTTATGTGTGCATGTGATCATATGTGTTCTCATGTGTGCATGAGATCTTATGTGTTCACATGCATATGTGCATGTGAACACATTTGTGTGTGTACATGAGGTGTGCATGTGTACAAATGTACGTGAAACTCGTGTGTGAGGCTGCATGCGAAAGTGTGTGCGTGTACATGCAGGCGTGCATGTGAACTCATGTTTATGTGTGTGAGTGTACATGAGGTATGCATGTGAGAACGCGTGAGACTGCATGAGAATGGGTGTACACACATGTGCGTGTGAATTCATGTGTACATGTGGGTGTACATCAGGTATGAGTGTGTACATGAGAACTCGTGTGGCTGCACACGAGAGTGTATGCACGTACATGTGTGCATATGAACTCACGTTTGCATGTGAGAGTGTACATACAGTGTGCGCTTGTATGTGTGTATGTGAGAAATTGTTTATGAGACTGAATGAGAGCATGTGCATGTACATGCAGGTGTGCATGTGAACTCGTTTGTGTGTGTGTGTGTGTGTACATAAGAACTCGTGTGTGAGACTGCATGAGAGTGTGTGCGTGTACATGCAGGTGTGCATGTGAATTCACATTTTTGTGTGTGTACATGAGGTGTGCACATGTACGTGTGTGCATGAGAACTCATATGAAACTGCATGAGAAGGTGTGTGCATGTACACGCACACACAGAAAAACTCAAGGCCCTCAGCAGAGGGATTCTGCCCTGCCTGAGTTTTTGTCTTCAAAGCCACACCCACCACAGCCTGGAAGCGCTGCTGTGTGCTGTTACTAAGCCTGCCTGCCAGACCCACAGAGAGGACTTCTGTGCACATGTGCCAGGGGAACACATAGGAAGAAGTCTGTTAAAGTGCCAGGCAGGCAGCATGCAGAGCACTGCTTCTGCTCGTGAGGACGCAGGCGCGCGCACCAGGCAGTTCTCAGGGAGCCACTCAGCTGTGCTAAGCGTCATGGCAGAGGCCCAGGGACACCAATTAGCCAGCACATTCCATCCAGAGCTGGCAGCTGGCATGCACTGTGGGCGCAGAGCTGAGCCCAGACAAGGCAGAAGGGCACAGAGATGGCCCGGCCTCCCCATGTGCTGAGACGACACGGGACACGGGACCATGGAACAAGGGGCATGAGGGGAGGATGCTGAGGTGTAGGCGGGTAGAGGCAGGCAGGAGCCACTCAGCACCCCCTCCCACCTGAAGGGGTCACTAGAAGTCTGTCAGGCCTGGGAGAGACTTCCTCAAGTCAGCTCCCATCCCCTTCTGGACCCAGCTTTTGTCCTCAACTCAATAGCCTTCTATTCAGGGAGGTAGCACCAAGACGAAAGACCGGAGTGCAGAGGGGCAGGGCGACGCCGATGGCTAGGAGTAGCTTGGGCTGGACCCTAAGCTAACGCTGCCCAGCACTGAGCCCACTCCCAACGGTGGCTCTATCCTGATGAGACACAGGTCCAAGCAGTACAGACAGCAGGGATGGCCACAAACTGCAGAGAGGCTTTGCTGCCAAAGCCCACCCCCCTCACCCCCCTCACCCCCGCACTAGAGCCTAGCTACGTCAGCAGTACCTGCAGCCAAGCTTGCTGATGGCAGGTTTGGGCTCCGTCTATGTGAGCTGGCAGACCGACCGCTGCTGCCTGAAGGACCCAGTTACCACCTTGAGACAGGCTAGGGTGCTTCTGACCATAAAACTCTGATCTCAGCTCCAAGGGTTGTGAGCAATCCCTGAGAGGCTGGTAAGTCACGCTCCCGAGAGAGGGGAACCTGTTTGTTTCCAGATATCCATGGACACAGGACAAGGCGGCCAGCACTGCCACAGGGCGAGACTCACCTGCCCTCCGCTCCGAGGGCCCAGCACCCCGAGATCCGGATGCTGGGGTAAGCTGGGGGACTGCTCATGGCTGCGGAAGGTGGGGAGGCACCCAACAGGCAGAGCTGCAGGTATGTGGGCTCCTGAGGTAGGTGCACTCACAGAGCAGAGACCTAAGCACGGCTGTACCTGTGCCCGTGACCCCCTGAGGACTCAGACGCTCTGGCCTCCTGGACTGCCCTGCATGGGGCCTGCAGGCAGATGTAGCAGGGGGGGACTCCGTTCTCCAGGGGCTGTGGGCACAGGCTTAAGAGGATCACAGAGAAGCCAGGTGTTAACAGCAGGCCGCACCCAGTTCCAGACCCCAGCCCTCAGGCTGTGCTCTGCCTCTGCCCTCAAGGTGCCTCCTCCTCCAGCATAAACAAATCTGAAACTCCACACAAGGCGGCATCTAAGAATAACTGCCCTGCCCTGCCCCCTTGAGGGCCCCAGCATGCCACCCCTCAGCCACCCAGGGCTCCGCTTTGGGCCACTCCCCTCCTGAAGTCACTTCCCAACCCTGCTGGCCGGAGAGGGGGGCCAGTCCATGGGGTAGCTGGGCCTCTCAGCAGGGGAAGGTCAGTGGAGATGTCTGTCCTTGAAAGATTGAAAGGGATTTGTGCTGATAGGCCATTGGGTCCACCTCTTAGCCAGGGCCCCCAGCTGCTTCCTGTTCACACACACCTGAGGGGGCCTAACACAACCATGGGGTCTACAAACCTGACTGGGATTCACATCCCCCACCTGAAGGGCTTTCACACATGGGAGAGCTATCACACATGGGAGGGTCACAACTCCAATAGGGGCTCCAATACATATGGGGAGTTCACACATCAGTGAAGGGTTCCCAAACCAATAGGAGGGTTCCCACACCTGAAGGGGGCACACCTGGGAGGTTCACATGCCAGTGGTCCACACCTCAGGGGTCCCTCCCAAGGACTAGCAGCTTCTCCTGGCCACCTAATAACTGTTAGTGTCTGTTTGCAGTCTGGGGGCACCTGGCGACAGGATAGGCCCACCTGTGCCATAGAGTAGCTCTCCTATGATGCTGGTCTAGGGTGGCCAGGTCATCTGCCAACCTGGGGCGCAGGTCAAGTTCCCTACCAGGCTGTGAGATCAGCAGGCTCCAGGGGTCCAGATGATTACACTGGGGCTGGGAGAAAACAGCTGCTAACTTGCCCTGCCCATGGCCCTATGCAGGGTGGCACAGTGCCCCCTGTGGACCCCGTGTGCCTGCATCTAGGCTCCAGGGAGCCTGTTGTGCCAACTAGCCCATCTCACTCAACCTGCAGTGTGTCAGGCAATGCCCAGAGCAAATCTCTGGTTACTAGGGCTGGACAAGTAGGCATTGGGACAAGTCTGTACCCACTGCCTGTCTGGCCGTGGGTAAGCCTTCTTGTTGTGCAGGGCACTTTTACCATATACTTCATCCTGGGCCCTCACCGCCACCTCCAAGCCACCTCCCACCTACCCGAGTTTCCCACCAGTACACTGGGTCGTGAGGCTCAAATGCACATGGCACTGGAGTGTCTTCTATGCAATGATGCATGCATGAGTGACAGACAGTCTTAGGAGCTACAGAATGCTAGCATGCACAGTCCCTTGGAAGGGTTGGCAAGAGCGTGGGCAGGGCATGCCAAGTCCCACACTCACACTGCCCAGCTGAGAGGCCAGGCCTACAATGAGCAACAGGCTAGGTGGCCAGATGCCGCCACTGCTCAGAGGATCCAGGATGACAGAAAGAATCAAGCAGATGCGATTCGGTGGCTGGGCACTGACTTTGGTATGCTGGAGGGGCTCTAGACAGAGGCCAGCAGGGCAAGGATTTGCTGAGTGAGCAAGAACGGTAGCTAAGAAGAGAAGTACAAGATATTCTACCAGAAACCCAGAAAGCAAACAGATCTTGGGGACTTTGGGGGAGAAAAGAGTTGTCGCTAAGTTTCTTTTTAAACTGGATCGATTCCAGGTCCTTCTCAAAAGAGGGTGAAAACAGTGTCGGCCTCTTCCTCCTCCTCCTCCTCCTCCTCCTCCTCCTCCTCGCTGGTCTGAGGGAGGCTGCTGGACCTGTCCTGAGCTGTCAAGGTCACGTGGTTGCCTGCTAACTAAAGAGCTCTGGCACCAGCTGGGGTCCCAGGCTCAGTTCCTGTCAGACGTAAGCTGCCCCCCACTGTCAAATCGTTAGAGGTAGCTCTTGGCCCATCCCCAGGTGGAAGGACGCACCTGTCAGAAGACATGCTCCCTGGGGGCCAGAAAAGGCTTTCTATGAGCAGCGGCTCCTATGAACTATCCTAGGCGGGGGCCACTGGCAGCTGAAACCCCCAGGCGGGTCCAGGCACGGCTAGCCTCCGCCCCCTGGCGGCCAAGGTCGGAAGCTCCCCGAGGAGGTTTGGAGGCCGGTGCTTACAGGTTCCTCCCTTACAAGCTTTTCTGACATTCACACGAGAAACAGCAGATCCCCGAGGGGTCCGCACACCAGGTAGGAAAGTTAGAAGGTACCAGGCACAACGCTGTCCCCAAAACGCAAGGCAGGTGCGATTCCAGAGCGCCCACCCTGCCAGGTACCCCTTAGGTCAACAGGGGTGGGGGCCGAGCTGCTGTAAGCACCGAGAGCGTGTGCAAGGCTCCCCTCTCCGTTCCGCACAGGCTCCAGGCCCCTTCTGCTCCTCTCGGCGGGGGTGGGGCGGGGGGAGATCCGGATCTCGCCCCTACACTCAGCCCTGCACCAGATTCAACACAGCTTGTCTCGGTGGTCTTTGTTTCCACGGCCCGCTGCGCGCACGCGCGTGTGCGACGACCTCATGGTGTGCACACGAAGGAAGCCCTCCGCACCTTTACCGACCCGGGGGGGTTCGGTGTCGAGCCCCTCAGAGAGGCTAAGGGAAGGTGGAGGGGACTGTGCCAGGGTGGAGGGGTGGAGGGAGGCTGGGCTAAATCTGGGGGAAGCTGCGAAAAGGCTTAGTGGGGTCCGGGCCAGGCCAGGCCTTGGGATAGGCACGGGATAGGTGACAGGAGTCGCCCCCGCCCCTTCTCCCGGCTCCCACTGTGAGACACGAGGGGGTCGGGGGGCGTGCGCGGCCCCTAGCCTCTCTCGGGCGCCCCCCGCCTACCAGTCCTCGCATGCACTCTCGCTCTTCTCCCCCGAATGGTCAGGCGAGTCTCGGACTGCAGTAGGCGGCGGGGGCGAGGGGCCTGCAGCCGCGGAGGCTGGGGTTGCAGCCATGGAGCTAGGTTTTTCCGGCGGCCGCAGGCCAGACTGGGCCACACGCACAGGCCGCCGGGAGGTGTAGTTTAAGGCCGCGGCACAGGAAGCCGGGGACTGTAGTTCAAGAACGTGCACCGTAAACCGTAGACGAAAAGACCGTGCGTGGCGCTGCGATCCGGGACTTAGGCCGGTGCTCTCTCACGTGCAGAGGCTAACCCGGCCTCATCCCTGCAGGACCTTGTTCCCGCAACCCCCTCATTTTATCACAAACTCAGCCACACAAAGGCCCTGCAAAAAAATCAATAAACATTTATTTGATACAGTCGTTTTAATACATACAGTTGATGGCCTGCCCCCAAGTCACTGGGGAGAGGGAAGGGAGCAGGGCAAGGACGAGAACCTGGGACAGATGATCACAAAGCGGGCAGTGCCCGAGCTCACCGTCAAAACAGCTTGCAAATAAACACTTTGTAGATAGAATATATATGTATATATATGGTTACAAGTGGTAGCAGGAACCTCTCTTTTGAAATGCACTTACGTACTGAGAACTGGTGCTTAAAAAAATACCCAAACCGAGAAACTGAAAGTATAGAACGTGTAGCCACCAAGCTGGAGGTGCTGGCTGGCCTTCTGAACCTCAGGCTTCCAGTGCAAGATGTCAGGGGCCCACCAGGTGGGGGTACACTGGACAGCCCCTTCCCCCCCCCCCCAGTCAGGACACCCGCTGTTTCCTGCCAGAACTTCCATTCACTCTCCAGGTGCAGAGGGATAGGGAGGGCTAGGGCCAAAGGTCACACCAGAAGGTACTCTCATCTGCCATTGCACAAGCAAATAAAGTGCATCCCATTGGTGTGTGAGGTGTCAGCCCCTCATGCCAGCCCTTGCTGTACTCAAGGCAAGGAGGTAGATCTGCAGAAAGGGACCCCCACTGTAGTGTTATGGCCTTGGGTTAAGTTCACCCCCACCGCACCCTGGGGTGGGGAGGGGAGGGGGAGTCTGGCCACCAGATCCCTTTCACTGGCCGCCAGCACTGATGCTGAGGATTGCGGGGGAGGGGGGAATCTGAGTGGACAGATGCCACTGAGTGCTGGCCAGAGCCGTCCCATCCCCTAGGAGGGGTTTGCAGACCGGCTCACCTAGGCCCCTCATCAACCTGAGCACCAGGCTAGGCTGTGGGAGGGAGAAAGGGTGGGAGGGAGGGAGGGGTCTGACCCAACAGCCACATTCAGCAGCAACCCTCACTCCCATTTTAAAGACAAAGAAGGGGGTTAAAGTGCTAAACATTGTTACCCAGGACCCCTGTCCAGAGAGGGTTCCCACAACAGGGGGACTACCTATGGACTTTGGGAGTGTCCTAGAAACTCACCCCCAGCCAAAAATAGGGCCCTATCTCTTCTCCCCAAGGGCCAAGTACCTGAGAGGCCGGGAGGTTGGCCTGCCCTCAGCAGAGGCATTGTGGTTGGACCCTCCTCCAGCCTTAGGTAACAAGGGCAGAGCAGAGAGTACCTGGAAGGCCTGCCCAGAATCTGCTTCCACTGGACGCCCTCCCTCACAGTGGCTGCCTAACCCCACCTCCAATTGCTTCCATTCTGTAAGTGATGTTAGAAGCACAAGGCCCCTGCTCACACTGTCTGCCCCACCCTGAGCACCCTTTATTCTGACTCTCACCCATCAGTCTCCACAGGCCAGGGCTGTGAGGGCCAGTGCCTTTAGATCCAAAAAAGTCACATACAGATAACACCGTGGGGGACCCAGCTCTGAGCTCCCGGGAACAGCCCACTTCCAGCCTATTCTTCCCAGGGGGCAGGGGGGCCCATGAGGGCAGCAGCTGGGGACCAGCAGAACTGGGTCAGCACCACCTGTCCAGCAGAGGTCCACAGAACACAGGGACCCCAGCCAGGCCCCCAGACTCACCATCGGCACCAGGAAACCCTTAGCACCAAAAATGTCAGATTGTTGTGAATTTTCATATAAAAAACAGAATTAAAAATGGGTTGTTACTTGTCACAGCAACAAGACTGGCATCAACTACACCCAGGAAACACACGCACTTGGCACGGGCAACTATCAAAATTCACATCAGCCAGGATCTGCCAGCTCAAGCCCTCGGCTTCTCTTTACTCCTAGTGGAAACTGGCTTTCTTCTGAAGCCCTGTGAAGGTCCCCATCCCTGTGGTGGCCGGGCCCTGGGGGAGGGGCCAAAGCTGCATGGCTGTGTCCTCCAGGTGCACTGGCCTCCCAGCCAGACCTGCCCAAACTTCAGAGCACACTCCTTATAGAAACCCAAAGGGGAGCAGAGATAAGGCCTGGCTCAGCCACCAACCTTGGCCAGGTCCCTGGCCTTGCTGACCTCCAGTCTTGCATCAAGTGACCACAGAACCAGAAGCAAAGGGGCAGGTGTAAGACAGGAGAGAGTGTTCCTGGGACATAGCCAAGACCAAATCAACTGCCAGAAAAGCCACTTTCCCACAGCGGGGCCTCCTCCAGGGTTAAACCCACTCTGCCCAGCTCCCAAAACTATAAACCCCCGAGTCTGGAGCAGGCCGTCTCTTCCTCTCCCCAGCCAGTAGTCTCAGCAAGGCAGAGCAAGCTTCATGGGGCTGCTCACCCCACCCTGGGGGACCTGGCCACCTGAGTGACCACCTCAAGGGACCCAGGCTGGGCCAGTGGGGGAGGTGAAGCAGGGGCTGTAGCGGGGAGGCAGGAGAGGTAGAGAGAGCAGAGGCAGAGGGCAGGGGCAGGGGCAGGCGAGCAGGGCACGTGGTGAGACCTGGGCCTTCCTGGGAGGTAGCTGGGGGCTGGAGTTCCAGTGTCAGGTGGAGGTGAGGCTGGGGTAGTGCTGGTTGGGCTGCCCAGCTGCCCTTACCAGCCCAGACCCAGGGGTCATCAGGGACCCCAAGCCTCAGTGGCAGAGCCCCTGGGCCAGGAGGTGGGAGGCAGCAGGGGCACAGAATCAGACAGGCAGGGAGGCCCATGAATGCCACCATCTGCCTATTCTTTGTTCCCCCTCCTTTCTGCCTTGGGCCGGGCCCCCAGATGCTGCCAGGCGGGGATCGTTTTCAGAGGAAGAGCTGTTTCCTCAGACTATTGCACCTCTGTGGTCCCCTCTGCCTCGGCCCAGGAGTTCTGATGCTCTTGGCTCTCTGGACTGGAGCAGGGGAAGGGCCACATCAGGGACAGGAGAACAGCTGATCACCCCCACCTACTGGACAGATGGAAGGGACAGAGACTGGAGGCAGGAGGTTGGAGCTAGTGACCCCTCGGCTGGATGGAGTTGTTTGGCGGGAGCATGGGGGCCAGACCCCACCTACCTACCACCATCCATCCAGCTCATTTCTCGGGCACCTTCCCAGCCCCGACCTTCCGGACCACAGAGCCCCGACCCCCCTTGTCTCTGCCCCCCGAGGGCCAGTCGTCATTTGGCTGCAACTTGGGCACAGGCTCTGTAGACGGCCGCTCCCTGGGCTTGCGACCCCGCTTCTTGCCGCCCCCTGTGCTTTTCTTCTTCTCCCGCTGGGGTGCCAGGGAGTCCTGGCTCCTGTGTTTGGACGGAGGTTCCACGGAGGTACGAAACCAGTTCTGGGGGGAAAAAGCAGCCAGTGGAATCCTCAGGGGTATGTCCTAAGCCAGGCCTGGCCTGAGACCTGACCCCCCAGCAGACAGCTGCAAAGCCCTACAGTGCAGCTAAGGGGACCAGATGTGTCCCTTGGAAGGCTGGCTCCCATGAGGGACTGGGGACACCTGTACCTCTCAGCACTTTAAGAAGTATATGTGGGACAGCCATTTTGGGATGAAAACTCCAGATTTCTTTGAAGCTGTATTTAAATATCGGTCACTTATCCCAAGGTCACTGTGCCCTGACTCGTGGCCCTGACCTGGCCCTCCCCGGTCCGGCCCCACCCCTTCGGTCACCCTCACCTCGGCGTGGGTCTTGAGGATGTGGTACTTGACGCCACTCTCAGAGCTGAACTCCTTCGGACACAGCAGGCAGTGGTACTTGCCTACCATGTGGTCCCCCTACAACATATGAGGGCGCAGCCCCCAAAGGTTAGACTCAGCCCCCAGGCCCTGCCCTGCGGCTGCAAGGAGGAGGGGTATCCATATAGAAGCCACAGGTGCCGGGGCAGGATGTGGCCAGTAGATGGCAATAGGGACCCTCGCGTCACCCTGTGCCAGAACCCGAGTGACCCGGCTATAGGAGGGGAGCAGAGATGAGTGGGTAGAAGCTGATGCCCAGGGGAAGTCTCTCTACTTGCTGGGCCAGCCATCCCCAGATCTCTCCCAACCTGGGTGGGCACCGCCACCTGCATCCACAGACAGCAGCTCTGAGGGCAAGGAGGTCAGACCACGGGGGGCCTCTGGACAAAGAACTCAGCAGGAACCAAGGGATGGGACACCTTGGGTCTGATGGCCCCTAAAGACAGCAGGCAGTGGGGGCTGTGTGCTGGGCCCTCTAAATGCATTCTGGGACCCCTGTGTCCTCCCGGCCACAGGGAAGAACCAACCTTGCTGCAACTGGCGAGGTGGGCCTTGAGGCCGGACACACTGGAGTAGATGGCTTCACAGCGCTGGGAACAAAAGCACAGTGGGTACGGGTCCCCAGTACGCCTACCCTGTCTCGGGAATGGTAAGGGGAGGGGCTTGGGCTCAGAAGTCCCAGGGCCATGGGCAGGTCGTCTCCCAGCAGACGTCTCTGTCTAAGGGTCACGCTGGGACGACTCCCTTTGGACAGTCTGTATCTTGGGCTCTTCTTCTCCCTCGAGAGTCACACTCGGGTGCTGTCCCTGAGGTCAGCCTCCTGGCCTGCCAGCCTGCCCAGACACACCTTATTGGGACAATTGATGTGTCCTTTCTCCTTGACTTCATTCTTCCATGCCTCGAGCAGCTGGGGGTCGAGTGTGGGGAGACCTGGCCGTGTGTAGTTGAGCTGGGAAAACAAGCAATGAGTGAGCCTATGGTCATCAGGGAGCCCAGGAGTGGGGCGTCAGGAGGCCCTGGGCTGGGACATATCCCACCCAGACCCCAGGAGAATGGGAGCTGAGAGGCGTCCAGAGGGGCCTGGGGGCAGGGGTAGTTACCCTTGCAGTCTCAGGCACAAGGTCATCCTTCATGCGCCGCTTGGTCCAGTCTCGGGCCAGCTCGTCCTCTGCGATCTCCTGCAGGTGGAACACGGCAACCTGGGCCGATGTCCGGCGAATGCGACCACTTGGGGTCCGCTCCACGCCCAGAAGACCCTCAGCCTCAGGGGACTTGTCTGCAGGCTCTTCGGGGGGCTGGAGGACAGGACAGGTGGAGGTGAGACACAGGGTGGCCAGGTGGCCAGCTGATGGGGGAGGTGAGCATGCTGGCACACAGCGTGGCACTCACCGGAGCCGCGTGCTCCGAGCGCATGTGGTAATCGTGACCAGCCTTGGAACGGTAGGTTTTGCCACAGTGGGCACAGGGGAAGGAGGGACTGTCCAACTCACAAAGAGGCTTCCCACAGCGTCGGTGGTGGTACTGATATCCCATGAGGCTAGAGAAGGCGGCTCCACAGCCCTGGAGGTCAGAGGCTGGGGTCAGGGGCCGAGGTGGGGGCTGGCAGACCCTGGGCCCCAGCTCCCCACCTATACCCCAGTCGACTGACCCCCTGAGGGCAGCGCAGCTTCCCCATCTGCTTCAGCACCTTTCGAAGCCGTTCCCGTTCCTCCTGCTCACCCCACTCCGAGGCCTCAGCATCAGAGGGCTGGGGGGGAACAGGGCAACATCATCAGTGCCCCCGATTCAGAGGCTCCTGCCCAAGGGTCAGAGCCCATGGATGTCCACGGATACACAACGATCCACCAAAGTGTGGTAAGAGAAAGTCCATGGTCAGGGCTGGGGAGGACTGGACCAGAAGGCAGGGTGGGCGGGCAAACCTGGGTACTGTGTTCGGCCATGGTGTGGTAGTTGAGGCCTGCCTTAGACTTGAACTGCTTCCGGCAGTGTTGGCACTTGAGTGCATCCTGCAGCTATAGACAGAGCCGTGTGCTAGAACTGAGCCCCCAGGCTCCCCTTCCGCCCCACTCACGGCCCCCCACACACACCCTGGGGGAGCCTGCTGGGCCATGGACTCCAGCCTCACCTTCTGGCACACCTCCATATGCTTCTTGAGCCCCACCAAGGTCTTGCGGGTGACCACACTGCAGTTGGGACAGACAGCCTCGCCCCGCTCGTGGATGGCCCGCTGCCACTGTTCCTCGGGACCACCTATAGAGCGAGGCCAGGGCCTCAGGGCCTTGCTGGGCTCCCGGATCCCCTGGACGCCAAGTGCAGAGCCCAGGGTCCATATTTGGCCCTGACCCTGTACCCCAGCCCCCCTCCCATAGAAACTTGTTCCCGACACTCAGCAGCCCCCACCTGAGGCTGGGTGGGTCACAGGGGCTGGCCCCTCCTTGCTGGCAGCAGCTGGCACTTTCTTCCGCACGTCCTCAGGCCCTATCACCTCCGGTTTCTTGGCCCGGTGGATGCGAGCTTTGTCCTCTGCTTTGGCCAGGCCTGCGTGCACATGCATGCAGGATGGGTCGGTGAGGGCAGAGGGCTCTGGCACACGTGTGCACATGAGAGCAGGATGGGGTAGGTACGAGCAGAGACCCCCAGCACATGCGCTCAGTCACGGAAGAGCCTGACCACCGAATGAGTCTCACCTTTGAGTCCAAAGGTCCCCGAGATGGAAGGTTGCTCCCCCGTAAACTTCTTGGGAGTTTTCTGTTTCCTTCCTGACTCAGGGAGAGAAGGTGGACAAGATTCTGGTCAGGTGACGACACAACAGACTCTGCCCACCAACCGCTGGCCCCCTGACTCTCATCTTACTGTGCTTGGTCCGCTCTGGGTCCTCCTCCAGAGCGGATGCCGGACCTGCCACCCGAGGCGTCTCCTTGCCCCCTGAAGCCCTGCTGCCTGGCAAGACGGGGCTGTTAGGGGAGTCTGCAGCCAGCTGGAATCCGGAACTCTGGCCAGCGGTGGACGGGCCGCACTCCCCATTCTCTGGCCTCATTTGCTTGGGTGGCACGGGACAGGTGTCTAGGTTGTCTGCAGCCCTGGGGAGAGTGGGTGGATGAGGGGCAGGCGACCGACTTCACAGTACTAGCTGCAGCCCAGGGACCCCTGAGTCCAGAACAGGCCCCGTACCTTTTCTTACCGCTGTTCCTCCCCACAGCACGAGGACTTTTGTTCTCTGACCTGGTCAGCAGCACCATTTTGCAAGGTGCTGTGGGTCTGCTGATGGCCACAGGCCTGCTGACTGACATGGGCTTCGTAACTGTCACAAGCTTTGTGATCGGCACCGATTTGGTCACTGACACTGGCTTGTTGACTGGCATGGGTTTGGTGACCGGTATGGACTTGGTGATGGTTATAGGCTTGGTGACGGGCATGACAGGCTTGGTGATTGGTGTGGTCTTGGTGACGGGTATGGACTTAGTGACCGGCACAGATCTGTTGACTGAGACAGGCTTGGTAACTGGCATGCTGACCGGCACTGGCTTGCTGATGCCGATGGGCTTGCTGACCCCCACAGGCCGGCCCATGGTGACAGGCTTGCTCACACCTATGGGCTTGCTGACCCCTATGGGCCGACTGATGGTAACTGGTCGGCTGACCGGACTGGACTTGGGGGCTGGCAGGTGTCGGTCCATGTGGTTCCAAATCCGATGCTTCTCCAGCTGGGTCTTGGAGGTGAACGCGGCCTCGCAGAAGGGGCAGGGGAAAGTCAGCCTTTCTGAGATGGCGCCCTGAGCGGGAAGGGCAAGTGTGGGCAGGGCCCGCCCAGGGGGGCTGCCCAAATACCCCCCAGTGTGCAGGAGAGAATGCTGACAGCGAGGGTGGGTAGGCCCAGGCCTTCGTGTCCCCAACCAGATGCCCCTTACCCCTTGGCACCGCTGGTAATGGTACTTGAGGCCGTAGATGCTGGGGAACTCCAGCCAGCACCCCGAGTTTGGACATTTCACCCTTGAGTGGGCCTTGAATTCGTCCTTCCACTGGTTCATCAAGGAGAGCTGGGGATGAGCAAGGCTGAGCTGCTGACCCCTTGGTGGAGCCTCTGCCCAACCCGAGTCCTGGGCACAGTAGTTTCCCCAGAAACTAGACCTTGCCCACACCAGCCCCAAGTGGGGGCCCTCTGTTGCACCTGTTCTAGGTTCCCACACCTGGTCTGCTGGGCAACCCCAGAGGTTGCGTCTAGACGGCAGACCCACAAAATCCCACCCTAGCCCTCAGGAACTCACGGGAATGTCTCGGAGTGCCTGGTTCTCAGCTTTCGGCCGCCCTTTCTTCTTCCCTTCCATTCTGTCGCTGGCTGGACTTCCTGGGTCAAAGCAGAGCGGGGCCTGACTGGGTATGGTCTGCCCACCTCGGACCATCGGCATTCCTGTAGCACACAGCACAACAGCTCGGGGACTGCACAGCTGTCCAGGCCCGCAGGCCTCCATCCACAGCCAGGCCCTATCCCGCCCATGCCGTCTCTTACCAAGCTTGGGTGGGTCGTGAAGCACCGGAAGGCGGACTTCGTTCCGGCCTGCTTCCTTCCCAGGTCCACTCTTGCTGGACCCCGTGAGTCGGCGGCCTCCACCCATACAGAAGGGATCCGTCATGACTGCAGAGCAACGGGACAGACGTCTGAGGTCCAGGGCCCAGGATCCGATGTACTTGCGGCCTCCTGGGCCATTTAGCACTGCCCTCTATCCCCACCCTCAAGGCTGATCTCTGGGAGGAGGGGGCTTCTGACTCTGGGAAGGGGCTGCCCAGCTGAGGTCTCCAAACAAACCCGAAGAAACCACCAGTCTGAAGGACCTAGTCTGGAGTCCCCTAGCCCCACGACATGGGCCAGGAAGGATGCACCCCTACCCCCAAGAGCAGGGAGGCAGACTACACCACTCCTGAGGGGAGTAATTAAGATACCAGTGGTGGACTGCTAGCCCATCTGGGGGCACCAAGGTTGGATCCCTTCTCTCGTGCAGACCCACCAGGTGAGCACCCCCATCTTTCTGCCAAGGATATAGTTGGAAGAGTGCCAAGCTGGGTGCAGAAGGACCCGAATCCCTCCCAGTAGGCAGACTGAGGCCGGAAAGCCCCTCATTCCCATCCCCAGTAGCCTTTCCACCCAGGTGGAGGCTGGCGATGGCTCCTGTGGCACGCTGCCCCTACCCAAGGAGTCCCAGTTCCCTGCCCAGCTCCAGCCAATAAGCACAGGTCACTAAGTCCAGCATCCAGAGCCTGCCACCTTTTCTGGGCTGGGCCTCCAAGGGTACGTTCTACCCAGGTTAGGGGACCCCATAACCCAAAAGCTGAGATTGATACGGGATTCTGGGCCCAGCCCTATCCTATTGGGTCCTCCCACAGGGAGACCCAAGACCACAGAACAGGGTGTCCCAGGCAGGCTGAGGTCAGACTACAGCTCTGGGCTTTCCCACTCCATTCCAGGGAGGATGCTCCAGTGTCTGGGCCTGGATGGAGAGGCTGGAGGATACCACAACAAACTTCCCCAGAAGTCCTCAAGCTGCAACTTCCTAGGGAGCTCCTGAGGGCAGCAGTCACCCGGCCAGCAATGAATGACCTGGTGACCAGAGGTATGCGAGCATCCAGGGCTCTGCTGGCCAACCTTGTCCCAAGCTGATTGGGCCTGGAGTCCAGGGAGCTAAGGCTAGGATTGGCCTGGGAGGTAGATACCCCTCCTTCCACCTCAGTCTGGGAGTCCTGAGTCGGGATTAGGGGTTTCCCTCCTATCTCCTATCGCCACACCCAGCAGTGTCAGGACTGTGAGACCAGTAGAGGAGACCCCCGGGAGGGCGGGGACTACAGGGGTATCAGCAACTGCAAAACAGCACAAGCCAGACCAGGGACCAGGCCCGGGGCGCGCGGATGAGGCCTGTCAGGGACGTGCACCTGGCGGCTTGGCTTCGTCACCCACCCACCTGTCATCTGCCGCCCTTCGCCGGCGCGGGGCGCAGACGCTGGGCGCGGGGCCCCGGTCTGGCCCTGGAAGGGCCGATCACAGGCGCCCAGAGGGGGAGGGGGGGGCGAAGGCAGTGAACCAAAATGGCGACTTTTTCTGGAGAAGGAGGAGCAGGAGTACGGCGCACGGCGCGGGGCGCGGGGCGCAGGGTCGGCTTGGGGTCCCGACGGCGGCGGGGGCCAGCGGCGGGGGCTTGGGCCAGCCTCGCCCGGGCCGCGCGGGGTCGGGGTCGGGGCGCGGTTGGCTGGGGCTGCGGACGGAGCGGGGCAGGCGCACGGGACGGGGCGGTTACCTGCAGCGGCACGATACGGCGGGCCAGGGCCAGGGCCAGGTCGCTGAGCGCGGTCGCTGGGCCGGGGTCGGGCGGCGCAGGCTGCGCGCCGCGCTGCGCACATGCGCGCTCCCGCCCCTCCCACCTTTGACAGTTTTACTGTGTGTGTGTGTGTGTGTGTGTGTATGTGTGTGTGTGGGGGGGGGGGAGGGTAGCGAGGGAAGCAAACTCTCGCGGTATTCCTGCCGCCGTTTGGCGATGGGGAGGGGGCAGGCTTGAGTGGGAGTGAGAAGAGGGGGAGGGGGCCGGTGGGCCCACCAGTTCTGCCCTGCTCTCTCGGGCTCATCGCGAATTCTAAAGGCCAGGCCTCTGGTGCAAAGTGGTTAGCTATAGGGAAGAAGGCAGTGTGCGGGTAGTGGGGTAAACTGAGGCACGACAAGGACACAGGGAGCTGGCCAAGCCCAGTGCCTACAGAATGAAGCTCCTCCAGAGCGGCTGGGCTCAGGGAGGGTGGGGCATCGTATTCAGAATCCTGATCTGACCATAGGGGCCTTGGCAGAGGAACCAGCAGAGCAGGACAAGTAGTGCGCTCTGGACTGGCAATCTGTCCATCTCTGACTCTGACCACCACTGGAAGGGGCCTGCCGAGGCTGGGTCTGCTCAAGGCCATGTAACTGTACTGGGGGTCACTGCCTTTGGACCAGACTCCCCCTACCTTGGGGGGATGGTCCTAGGCAAGCAGTCAGTTCGTAGCTCCCCTGACCACAAACCATGGACCTTTGGGGGCAATGCTGGGCAACGCTGGGCAATACATGGGTCTGGAGGTGAGCCTGGGGGAGGGAGGACACCCCAGTGCAGGTGGAGGGCCCTAGGGAAGTAGTTGGAGCACTATTCTTACTTGTTCACAGAGTCCACTTGGGGGGGTGGGCTCATGTGTCAGGAGGGAGGAGACTTCAGGTTTTCATTCTATGGCCCTTAATACTATTGAAGATTCCTGCCGTGGCGCTCGGGGTTAATGCGCTGGACTGCAAGATGGGTTTGAACCGAAAGGTCGGCATTTCAAGCTCACCAGCCTCTCCTCCAAAACCGTCTACAGGGTTGCTATGAGTTGGAAACAACTTGATGGCACTTAATAATGACAACAACAATACTATTGAGGGGAAAGCAAGGTGGCTCCATATGATAAGCACTGGACTGTGAACCACAAGGTCTGATGTTCGAGCCTGCCAGTCATTCAGCAGGAGAAAGATGAGGCTTTCTACTCCTGAGAAGATGTAAAGCCTAGGAAACCTATACAGAGTCACTATGAGTCAGAACTGACTCAATGGCACTTAACAACAGTCCTATTGAGGAGTCCTGGTGTGCTTCTGTAGGATAAGCATTTGACTACTAACTAGCAGTTCCTTGGAAACCCTATACAGGGTCACTATGAGTCAGAAGTTACTCGGTGGCACTTAACAATAATACTGTTGAGTTCTGGTATACAAGTTGGAAGTTCGAACCCATCAATCACTCTTCAGAAACCCAATACAGGGTCCCTGTAAGTTGTAATCGACTTGATAGCACACAACAACAATACTGTTGAGCTCTGGTGGCACAGTGAGCTAAGCATTGGGCTGCTAATTACAAGGTTGGTAGTTGGAGCCCACCAGCTCCTCTGTGTGAGAGTGATAAGTTGTCTGCGCCTATATTCACTGTCTGGAAACCCTACGGAAACATTCTACTTTGTCCTATGAGTTGGGATGGCCTTAACAGCAGTGGCTAACACTGTTAAAGCCTTGTATGTTATGAGTTTAGCTGTATCCCCTGCCCCCTAAAATATGTGTCAGTCTGGCTGGACCAGGTTTCTCAGTGCTTTGGCAGCTTTGAAATGATGCCATCCTCCACAGGATGTGATGTCATTAGTTAATTAGTTGTAAGATTGGGATGCAACATCCTTACTGAAGGCACAGTCCTCATCCAATATAAGGGGAGTTTCCCTGAGGTGTGCTCACATCACCTTTTATGTACAAGAGATAAAAGGAGAGAGAAGTGAGCAGAGAGACCTCAGGACCATGAAGCAAGAAGAGCCAGAAGCCAAGTTCATCCTTTGGACCTAGGGTCCATGTGCTGAGAACCAGGGGAAGACTGATGCCAAGCAACATGGAAATCTCCAGGAATGCCAAGTGTACAAATATTGAAAGGAGACAAACCTCCCCATAAGTTTCTAGCGTCCTACAATATGAATCCTGTTGTGGCTCTGCAGGACAAGCACTAGACTGCTAACCACAATGTTGGTGGTTCAAACCCAGCAACCACTCCTTAGAAACCCTATATAGGGTTGTTATGAGTCAGAACAGAGTCAACAGTACTTAAACACCAACACACTATGAGACCAGGAGCCTGGTAGTGGGGTGGGTTAGGGATTGGACTGCCAACCACAGGTCAGCACTTGGAATTTACCAGCTGCTCTTCAGTAGAAAGCTCTCTAGTCCCCTAGACCTACAGGCTCGGAAACTCTCTACAGGGTCACTAGGAGTCAGAACCAAGTCAACGTCACACAACACAACAAACTCTGAGAGCTACTTCTGTCATGGCAGTGCTATGTGCACTAAGACAACATGCTACTTTGGGAAAAACCTGGTCTATCTATTACTTTTACAGTTCAATTGGGTTAAATTTACTTGAATACTCCTTTTTGCATTCCCCAAGCATTTTGGGCTCCTTGAATTGGTGTAATAAGACAGGAATGGCTGGTTTGGAAACAGATGACCAGGGACACTGCCTTGCCTACATCTCTGTCCCTCCTATAGTAGATATACAATCGTGAGGGACAGGCAGAGATGTGATAGACATGGAGTCCACCTTTCCTCAAAGGGACCCTCTCAGACCACACAGCTCTCAAGCCCGAGAGGCTAGAGGGTAGCAAGGCAGAGGATGCGGGGCTGGGGTTGGGGGGTGGCAAAGACAGGAGGTGGGAGTTAAGACGGCAAGGTCAGTGCTTCTAGCCTTTCCATGGAGATCAGGGGAGGGGGAAAGGCCAGTGGTTATGACCTGTGTGGACCCCAAGGAGTGGTCAGTGTTGGCCCCTGAAGAGTGTACAGCCTGTCATTTCTCACTGTGTGTCTATGTCTGTGTGATGTGTTTGCATCTGCGTACACATCCATCACCTGGTGTCTGGTCTCCATGTGTGTCAGATGTCCATAGGGGAGAATGATGTCTGTCCGTCTGTCTGGTAGTGTTGAGGTGGCTGGAGGTCAAGGTATGTGTGTATCTGCCTATGTATGCCATTATTTGGATTCTTAACATATATGAAAGGGCTTTAAAGAGTTGGTGGAAAATTCTGGTATCTAAATTCCATTTCTCCAAGAACTCTGTGAAGCCCCATCATATGTAGCCAGGCTGTGGTGTGTGTGTCTTGACATCAAGGTGTCTGGGGTGTGAGTGTACACGTGATCGTGTATGTGATGTGTTCAGGCTGTAGTTGTTGGGTGTTGGAGGCTAGTTTCTGCCTGAATGTTAACTCCTGTGTCTGGGCATTGTGTGTGTAAAGGGACAGGCTCTTTATTGTTTGTCTGTGTGTAGTAAGACTGTTACAGAATTTGTGTTTGTATGCATACTAGCATGCTTGGGAGGCTATGTCTGTTCGTAGGGTATTGTATTTCTATGTGCTGGGTGTGCTGTGTAGACCTGGCTCCTAATGCCATGGTGTCTGAGTATCTGTGTATGTAGACCATGGTATGTGGTCTTGGCATTATTGCTTGCATGGTGTCTGGTTGCTGTGTGTCAGGGATGTGGTGTGATCCTTGTGCGTCTTCTATCAGGGTGCTGCTCTGTGAAGAAGACTGGGAAAAGCCCCCCAAAAGAAGTCTGAGTTCATTCCCTGGATCCCGTGAGCCTGACTGTACTTGGTAAGTGATGAAGCAAAGGCTCTGGAGATGACATTTGTACAGATCATGCAGGTAGGCTCTACAATCAGAGAGCAAGTGTCCTTATAAGACAGGCCAGGGAGATTTAAGACAGAGGAGACATGAGACAGGGCTGTGAGGCAGAGAGGAGCTGCTACATTTACCAGAACTGCCGAACTCAACTGTGAGCTGCAAGAGGCAGGTGACTTCTCCAGGAATCAAAGTTGTTTCAGGGACCAGCCTGTGGTTATTTCCTCGGACGTCCCAGGGAGCTCATGCTCCGCTCTGGGTGGCCATGTCCTCAGGCCCCTTACACGGGTCTTTTGGGTCACAAGGCCCCATTTGGGTCTGCCTCCATGAACTCACCCCATTGATGGATGGGCAGCCACCGCTGCCCCCTGGTGGCTGAGGTGTGCCTCACCCCTCTTCCCCATGCTGAACACATGGCCACTTGAGAACCAAGTTTATTTCTGATCTTTTGTCAGAATATAAAAAAGTGAGCACAGAACAAGGGAGACAAACAAGAGTCAGGGGTGGGGGTGTTGCATGACAGAGAGAGAGAAGGGGATGGAAACAGGAGGGTTCTAGAAACAGGACGAGGGACTCCCCATGGCAGAGACATGGGCCGGGTGGGGACACCGGGCCTTGGATGATTAGCTCAGGGTATACGGGAGGGGGCTGGGGGCTCAGCCTCATGGTCCCTGAGATTTTCTGAGTCCCCAAGGGGCATGAGAGAAGGCAGAGGAGCAGGGGGTACGGCTGTCAAGGTCCCCTGCCCCTTGCTGTCCCTCAGCCAGGCAGCACCAGCCCCAAACCAGCAGACCCGGGCTAGGTTCTGGGAAGACAGGTGACTCTGGAAATCCAGGTTTTCCTGGGAAGGTCAGGGGAACACCCACCTTCATTGTGCCTGAAGGTGCCTTTAGGTACTGGGAAACAAAGGACTTAGAAGCCAAGGCCAGAGGGCTGGGTCCCAACTAACCGGGTGTGGAGTCAGGGCAGCCTGGGGCTCCATCTGCCACTTTCCAGGGGTCCGGGGCATTCCCTGGACCTGAGGCCTTGGTTTCACATGTGCCAGTGGGCTTCCTATGGGGTGTGTGAGGGCACCTGGCCCAGGTTGTTCCAGCTCTGTGCGGATGGCACTCACAGAGGGGCAGTCACAGTCTGTTTCTCTTTAGTGAGGGCCCAGGGGGTGGGGGATAGACGAATAGACAGACCTGAGGGTGAGGGAACCTCAGGAGGGACTCAGCAGGCAGGGAGACTGTCGTCATGGGGTGAAGGGGCTATAAATAGATAGTATCACTGGACCACCTGTGGCACACTGCAGTACCAGGTCTGCTCTCTCCACCCAGGGCACAGCAGCCAACGTCATGGTCTCCAGTGCCCGGCCAAAGCGGGTGGGTGGGGGCACCCCTGGTCCAGCCTCTCCCCAGGGGCATCCTCAGGGTCCAGCTCTGCCTCATCCTGGCGGGGGTCTGGTCACAGTGCTGAGGTCTGGGGTCCAGCCTTCGCAGCAGCTAGGACACATTTCTGAAGGAACCTGTTGGGGTGGCCAGGCATGGGAGAGAAGTGGGGGTCTCAGGAGAGCAGCTCTGACCTCACCTACTGTCCCGCCCCCCCAGCCCTGGGTCATCCTCCAACCTCACAGCTCCCCCTCCCCCAAGTTTCCAGCCCCCCCCCCCTCCACTTCACTGACCTTGGCTTAGTAGCTGCAGGCTCCGCCCTTCTTCTCGCACCTGGAGCCTCAGCACCTGCTGCAACACCTCCTGCCGCTGCGCCTCCTGCGCCAGCCCCATGCGCTGCAGCTTCTCTGCATTCAGCCGCAGCAGGGCCCGGCCTGCGTGTGGGAAGTGAAGCAGGGCCTTAGGTCAGCAGGGGGCATGGAGAACAGGAGAAAGAATCAGACAGAGAGAGGGAAAACAAACAGGAAGAGACAGATAAGTATAAAGACAGACACACAGAAAAAGAGACAAGAAAAGACCGAGATAAAGAGGGAGAGTTCAAGAAAGACAGAAACAGAAAGGTAGACAGGGCTACAGTGCAAGAGGCAGAAGAAGGAAAAGGATGGAGAGCGTGCCCTGACGTGACAGAGACCCTTCTCACTGCTCACCTTTCCCCCCAGTGACCTGGGGTATGGTAGCTACTCCCCCAGGAAAAACCCCCACTCACCTTTCCTTCCAGGGCCCCTTCCCCACTGCCCCTTCCCCAGCACATACCAGTGATGGCATGCTGGGAGAAGGCTTCGACGTACACGAGGTAGTTGTGGGGACAATGCTTCTTGAGCCACTTGCACACGTCCTGCTGATTCCACAGGACCACGGGTCTGGTCAGACCACCCAGTGGGGGGCTTGTGTGGTACAGGCCATAGTGGTCAGCGTATAGCCGGCTCTGTGGGGAGTAGGCAGTGTTGAAAGGGTGGGGCAGGAAGGTATGGGCTAAGGGGCAGGCGGGCATACCTGGGGGGGCTCCGAGCCCGGCTGCTGTAGGAGCTTGACTGGCCGGCTGCTGGTTGCCCTCTGGCTGCGGGCGTCGTGCCACGTGAGGCTAGTGCCTGGTGTCCGTGGCAGCTGGTAGGGGAGGCTTTCAGCAGACACTGTGTGCTCCAAGAAGGTCCGGCAGAAGCTGAAGTGGGCAGTAGCTGAGGTACAGGAGTCAGTAGGCGGTTAGAGGCAAGGCCAGAGGCCCCTTACCTTACAAGGCAGCTCCGTGCCCAGCACATCTTCACTCCCTCAGTGTGGGCTCCCATGCCCCCAAAAGCAAGAGGAAGGGTGCCGAAGCCTTGTGGGTCCCACAGGTCCAAGAGAGGAGCTGGAGACAGCCGCCCCTTTGCCCCTTCCAAGCCTATGTTTCACATTTGGGGAGCACGCTCACTGGGAGGTCAAGTTCGCTCACCAGGCTGGGGCCCATCCTGGGACAGTCGCCTCTACTTTGGGCTGGCACACGTGTCACGCACAGGCCCACAAGACTGGAGGGACAGACTGGCCCCAGGCGTCAGGGAGGCTCCCCGGACACTACCCCTACTGTGGTTTGCCAACAACAGCTCACTGACAAGGAGTCTGAATGCCATGCCGGCAGGCCCCACAAACATTATGGGCTTTCCTGCTGGGCCAGCTGCCTCCACTTGGGTTGTCCTTTGCCTGGACAGCACTGGTGGGTGGTTTGGGCATGTGCTGGCTTTCCCCAGCTCGGGAACCACATGGTGCTCAGCGAGCCCTCTCTCCACACCAATGGCAGGGTATTCAAGCCTTAGCACCCCATTCATTTCCGGAATCATAGCCTACGTGAGCTTAGGGCAGGCAGACACCTCCATGGGACTCCTCCTACTCAGAGGGATCCCTGTTCCCAGCAAGAAGGCTGGTATACAGAAGGGGTAACTCAGGGAATGAACGGATGGAGACTCTAGGCGGGTAGAGAGGGTAGGGCACCCAGCCCTGTCCCAGAGCACCCCCAGCAGTAGAGAGACCCTCCCTTCCACTGACACAGTCTCCTCCTCTCCCTCGGACAGATCCTACCCAGGAGGGCTCAGTAATACGGAAAACTCACACACCCTAACCTCAGTTTCTTGCTTCTTTCCTGCAGCTTTCTGAGACTGTAAATCCCTAGACCTGGTGTGGCATTGTACGATACACACAGGACCAAAAGGTTGGTTTAAACCAGAAGGTCGGCCATTCCAACTCACCAGCCGCTCCTTGGAAACCCTATACTGGGTTGCTAATGAGTCAGAACCGACTCCACTTAACAACAGCAACATGACTTAAGTTGAGATTTGGGGGTGGAAGGAGAGTGTGCTTGGTGTGATTACTGCCCCAGGGTACCTTTTAGTAACATGGAAAAGCTGTATTTTTCATTTGGCCCCTCCAGGAGAGGCGCTAGATCAGGGTCTTACAGTCTGGCCCAGCGGGCAAGCTCCCGGGGAGTCACTCCAGAGTCAGATGCCTCGGACTGCACGCACCTGCCTCGGCCTGCCGACCTCGCCCATTTCCTGCTCCTGTTCTGGAGAGGGTTCCTGATTGTCAGTCCGTCTGCCTGTCCGAGGGTTGGGCGGTCCCTCCTAGCCAAATGTCAGAGCTGTCCCAGCTCAGAAGAGTTTTATGTTCACGAAGAAAAAGGTGACCCCAGTGCGGTGCCAGCGCGAGGACAGGAGCGCCTGCGGGCCTCCAGCCAAACCAAAGGCACGCTGACCCCCAAAGGCCCGAGGCCGGCGGGTCCCTTCCCCTCCTGCGAAGGACAAAGGCCACCGGAACCATGTTCGCCCGGGCCACAGCCACTCTGGGCCGCCTTCCCCTCTCACCCCTACCCCACCAGCCGCGGTGGCCCTGCTCACCGTCCACATCCCGGCGCTCCCCGAAGCCGGTGCGCACAGCCCCAGCGCGGCCTCGCGGGGGGCTCAGCTTGGACCTCAGCTCCGTGAACATGGGTCCCCGCAGTCCCGGGCGGCGTGCACACGCCCCTCGCCAAGCGCAAGGAGGCTGTGTGGCCGCGCCGGGAACGTGCGTAGCCGCCCCGCCCCGCTCCGCACCGGTCCTCTCTGCCGAGCAGGTCCCGGCGGCTGCGCTGGTCCCCGCGTCCGGCGAGTCTGCGCGGCGAGGCACCTGCCCGCCAAGCCCTATGCGCCGGGCGCGCTCCGGGAGCTCCGAGGTGTGGCGGCGCGCACGCGGGTCTGCGTGTACAGAGGGGGCTCCACCAGGCCTGGGGTGGCAGTGTGCACTTCCCTACGGCTCCAGGGATTTGTGTCCAGGTGCACCTGCCGGGGGCGGACGTCTGCTGGGGGGACCTCTTAGTGGGAAGCATGAGGACATGTCAGTCCCTGTGTGTGGGGGGGGTGAGGGTAGGGGGCAGTACTTGCCTCTCTGGACTTTTCCCCACCAAGCCCTCCCAGCCACGCCCCCTCCCTCACTGCTTGCTGGCTTAGCCAGGCTGCTAAGCCAGCTGCGCTGTCCTGCAGCCCTCTCCCCGGGTCTTTGTCCAATGGGTACCTGCTCCTCCAGGGATGCCAGCCTGGTCTGTGGCACCTCCATTTCAAGGAGCTCGGAGGACTCGGCGTCTTTCCCCTTCCCTGTGTATCTCCAAAGTCTGACTGGATGTTGTCCAAGGCTCAGTAACAGGAGGGACTGACTAGTCTGCGGTGGGGAACGACCAGTAAAGATATACTGGGTGGGATGGAGCAGGGAACGCCTGATTCAGAAGGCTGGTCACATATGTTCATGAAAAGTCATGCATGTACACAAAATCAGACCTGGACACAAGCCTCGCAACGCATTGTGAATACTTACGAGGAATTCACCCAAGTGTCTGGGTCCCGCTCACACATGCTGATGTGACTATCCACAGCTCGTATTTGTTTTGGTAAATTAGACTCCATTGAGGGGTGCTGGGAACTGCAGACTTCAGTACAGTAATCAGGGAGTGGGGGGAGCTGGGAGGTGTGTAGGGCGTGGGTGGGGGCCACCAAGGACTGTGCTGACCACTACGGACTGATCCTATTGGGGCCCAACAATCTGGCGCCAAGGTCCAGAGCAGCAGTGTGCACACAGGGTTCCCCACCACATCACAGCCCTGCAGGTCTACATGCTCCGCTCAGGTGTGGTTGAGGCAGTCCGGCCAAGGTGACTCAGAAGGGTGGCTGGGCCGGCTCAGAGCGAGGGGACCTGAGAGTCTTGTTCCTCTGGAACCACACCGAGAAAACAAAATAAACCGAAAGGCCAGAAGCTTTGGTTTTTGGTTGGCACCAGACCTTGCCCACTTCGCCACAAATAGGCGCTCCCGCGCATGCGCATGCCGCACCTCCTGCCCTGCAACTGCGGCCGGATGCCGTCCGAGCATTATTTCCGGAACTTCGCAGAGAAGAGGCTGATGGGCGGACCTTCGCGTAGAGGGCGCGCTCTGCTTCCGGGGCGCGAATGACGTGAGGTTGCGTCCGCTTCCTTCGCTGAGGCCGCCGGGCTCTCGACTTATTTGCTATTGCCGCATCCTCAGTTCTTCTTTGCCCGGCCTTCGGTGTCGCGGACGCCATGAACAAGAAGAAGAAGCCGTTCTTGGGCATGCCCGCCCCGCTTGGCTACGTGCCAGGGCTGGGCCGAGGGTGAGGCCTGGGCTCGGGGGCCGGCCAGGGGCCGCGAGGGCGGAGGAAAGCGCGCTCGGGAGGCGTTCCGGGCCGCAGCTGGGCGTACGGGCTGTGCCGAGGGGTCCGGCCCGCCCACCGCGGTGCTGTTGTCCCTGGAGGCGCCAGGACCTAGTCCGGGTTGAAGCAGATAGAGCAGGGAAGACGGGTGTCATTGGCTCACCAACTTGGCCCCCTGTGGGAGCCTCAGGAGAGCGCCTTGGGGCTTAGCTACATATTTGAGCCCGTTCTTAGTCTAGTAGCCGAATCTCCGACGTGGAGCGGGAATTCGGGACTGGCTTCCCACGGCCCGGCAGGCCCATTCCTGCTGCTGCTACTGCCTTTCCTCGGTGGACAAGGTGGTCGGGCCCCTGTTGTGGTCCGCTCCTGGCTTCGTTTTCTCCCTCTGGTCTAAGTCATCGCAAGCTGCTGGTTCGGTGTCAGCTCCAATCCAAGGTGGCCCACCTGTGCTGCAACACAGACAGGCCACCTCGGCTTGTTGGATATCTGAGCGGTCATGATCCCTTTGATTATTCAGTTGATTCAGAAAGCCAGTGCATTTCTCTGTTGTGGGTGCTAAGAATCTGTGGTGTGCACACAAGACTGAGATGTTGACTCTTCCACAGAGGCCCTGCCAGTTTACTAGGGGAATTGAGATGTTAGAGTGAATCACCACATCAATAGGGACAGGTTGAGAACTCCAGGGCTCTAAGGTCAGGGAACTCGGTAGCCTTTGATCCAAGTTTAGGAGAGTTGGCTTGAGAGATGCAGAATCGTGATATAGAGAAAGACTGATAGTGTGTGGCGGGAGGGAGATGGAACAGCACAGAGACCCATATGAGTGGAAAGGACAATGAATGGAAGGGAATCATGAGGTTTCTTAGGGCCTGCCACACTAGAGCTGGAGTAGGCATTGGAGACACAGTGATGTGTCCGTGTGCCAAGTCTGGGTTGGAGCAATAGAGTGGTGGAAGGCTGGTGCTAAGTGGTTGATCAGCTGGGTACCCAAGTAAGCTGGGTCCATACAGTGTGGTGAGGAGATACTTCAGGTGTAGAATCAAAAGAACTAGGAACAGATTGGATGGGGCTGGGGAAGGTGGGAGGAAGGCAGAGGTGATGCCGCGTGTAGCCATCAGCTGAAGCAGGGTGCCTGGCACAAGGAGAGGAGTGCAGTCTTGGCAAGTGTAGGTGGAGATGGTCTGCAGCTTGTTGGGAATGTGTGGTTAGAAATTGGGAGAACATGATGCCTTGGGTGAGATGAGGTCTCCTTGGTAGCGCCCAGTGTTGGTTGGAGGGTCCATCACATGGAGGGGTGAGCACATGAGTGTGTTTGCAAGTGGCCATGCTTAGCTGACCACACCAGGATCTCTGGGCGGTTTCTCAAGTGTTAGAAAAGTGATGACCTCGGGCCGAGAAGAGGACACAGGAGTAGTCATTCAGCTGTGGCAGTGGGCAGTACTCAATGGTGTCCTGGGATCTCCTGCAGTGCTACTGGCTTTACCACCCGGTCGGACATTGGGCCTGCCCGGGATGCAAATGACCCTGTGGATGACCGCCATGCTCCACCAGGCAAGAGGACTGTTGGGGACCAGATGAAGAAAAACCAAGCTGCGGATGATGACGATGAGGACCTGAATGACACCAATTATGATGAGGTGAGGTGTGGTGCCTTCCATGGCTCTGTGGCCAGTCCCTGAAGGGCTGGCCGCCTTCTTGGCCCTGTTGTGCTGTCTGATGTGGCACTTGTGCATTAGTATCTCCGTTTCTCATAGGCACCGTCAGCAGTGTGTAAGGGGTAGCAGAGTTTTGCCTAAGTGTGCATTCTTGTGTCTTCAGAAGAGACCCTCACAGGTAGTCGCAGGCATCTCGGATGCACATTAGTGACTGAAACTTACCCGAGTGGATTTGGGGTGACACCTTTGCTTTTGTGCTCACCTCTTAGCTGATGGGGTGTTAGCCTTTGGACGGTTGAAGTTTTCTTTAGGCATGTTCTAGCAGGCGGTATCTTTTCCTCAGTGAGAGGAAAGTATTTTAACTTTTTAGCCTTAATTTTAATTTAATGTTGTTGTTAAGTGCTGTCGAGTCAATCCTGACTCCCAGCAACCCTGTAAAGGGTTTCCAAGAAGCGGCTAGGCTAGTAAGTTTGAACTGCTGCCCTTGTGATTCACACTGACCTTTTAGTCTAGTGCTTATGCTACAGCACCACCCCAGGACTCCTGAGATAACGTTAGAAAGTACAGAGAATTCACATCTACCTGTCTCTGAGCCTTCCCTAATGTTAATGTACGATGTTACCTTGCTGCAGTTCTTGAAACCAGCAAGTTAACATCAGCACAGTATGCCTATATCTCACGTAGCAACATAACATGGTCAGGCCCAAACGCGGGGTCGTTAACGTGAAAATCAATGCTAAGTGAAAATGAAGGATGGTTATGTCATTACGTAATTGCCAAACCTCTGGGAATCATGGTCCAGCCAAATTGACACATAACCTTAATCACAGTTAGTGTTCATTACTGCCAAGTGTATGTCATTAGTGCTCAAATATGTATATATTTTACCATGGCTCTAAATTGAATTTGTCGGATTTACGGGATAGTGGATAAGCGAGGAGTTGTTAGCGTGACTGAAAGCTACTCCATCAGTTCCGACTCATGGCAACCTTGTATAGGGTTTCTGAGGAGCCACTGGTGAGCTTGAACCACCGACCTTGCGGTTCTAACTGACCTTGCAGTCTATCACACACCAGGACTCCAAGTGAGGAGTAGGTGTCGTATTATTAACTCAGTTATAATCAGTTGTTTTTATTTATTTAACTGAAAATGTCAAGAAAGGCTTTGTTAAATACTTGAGGGTTCTTACTGCCTTTTTTCCCAACTTTTTATTGTGAACTGAATGAAGGTTTTACAGAGCAGACCATCAGTTTTACATTCAACAAATCATATATTTTGCTTTATTACATGGTTGCAATTCCCTGCATGTGCAAACAGCTTACAGTGTTTACCTCTATTTACTGTAAACTCTTGCATTCCTCCCTGTGTCTCCCGCTACCTTTTATCTTTTTTCTGCCAACCTCCATTTTGTTGTCTATTGCCTGTCCTGTCACCCATTAACATGTGTTGGTTACAAACTGGGTTGCTAGTCTCATGGTCAGCAGTTTGAAACTACCAGCAGTTTCGTGGGAGAAAGAGGCTTTCTGCTTCCATAAATATTTACCGTCTCAGAAACCCTGTACAGGGCCGCTATGAGTCAAAATTGACTCCATGGCACTTTACCACCACCACTACCCTCTAACCCATGAATAATTTTCCCTCCCTCCATCTCCCGTAACCAGTATAGATTATTGTTTTAACTTTCCTAACATTGGGCCCATACAATATTTGTCTCTTTGTGATTGGCCAGTTTCATTTTAGTACAGTGTCTTCCATTTCGTACAATGTCAGCCACGCTGTGAGGTGTTTCACAGCATCGTCATAATTCTTCACCGTTCTGTAGTATTCCATTGTGTGCATGGACCAAAGTCTGTTTAAACATTCTTCTGTTGAGGGCCATTACGCTGTCTCAGTCATTTTGATAATGTGTATGGAAGACAGCGTATTGAAGGATTTTGTTTTCTTATCCATTCTGCTCTCTATGTTTCTTGACTGGCACATTATTTAATCCACTAATATTCAGTGTAATTATCAGTAGGTATAAATTGATAGCTGTCATTTTTCTGGGGTGTGTGTGTGTGTGTGTAACTGCTGGATTCTTTGTTCCACAAAATATTCTCTGCTGACTTCATTTTGTGGATTTTCTTTTCATTTCTATTGTTTTAATGTTTACTAAATCTTTCTGATGTTCCTCTTATTTTGATGTGCAGGTGTATTATTTTTCTTTGAAGTTACTCTGTAATTTATTAATTTTTTTCCTTGCTTAAAACGGTCTGTTTTATGTTGAAATCGACTTGACTTCTTTGCCATTTAGAAGTTCTGTATCTGTACTGTTCTCTCTCTTTGCTCTGTAGTTGACTTCGTTATACATTGATCTCTCTGCTTCCCTATTTTCAGTGTAGTTTTGTTTGTTTTATGTTAGATAGTTCCGTCTCTAGTTTGAGTTCTAGGTGGTGGTGTTTCAGCAAGGATTGTCTGCTGTTGTTGGCTCTCAGTCCAAAAAACCACTGTTTACCATTTTTTGTAAAGTTGGCCTGGTAATTATAAATTCCTTTAATGTTCTAATTTTGCTGTCATATTTGAGGGACAGCTTTGCTGGGTATATGATTCTTGGTTGGCAGTTTTTTTCTTTGCAGGATTTTGTAACTGACATCTCATTGCCTTCTTGCCTGCATGGTTTCTGCTGGGTAGTCAGAGCTCAGTCTTACTGGTTCTCCTGGTATGTCGTAACTTTTAGATTTTCCAGCGCTGCTCTCAGGATTCTTTCCCTGTCTTTGATTTTGAAACGTTTGACTATGATTATCTTGGTGATTTGCTTTTGGGGATCTATGCTGTTTGGGGTTCATTCAGCTGCTTGTGTGCAAATCTTCTCATCTTTCATGATGTCAGGGAAGTTTTCTTCCCACAACTCTCTGACAGTTTGCTCTGGACTTTTTATTGTCTCTTCCTGTTCTGGAATTCCAGTCCCCGGTAAATTGTTCCTTTTCAGGTTTGCACATAACTTTCTTTGGAATTTTTCATTCTTTTTTCTTATGGTTCTTCTAGCATACTAGTTTTGAGAGCTTTATCTTCCAGTTCACTAATCCGAGCTTCCATTCCTTCAAATAGTTTCCTTTGCCCTTTCAAATGCATTGTCATTTCTGAAATCTTCTCATTGCAAGTTGTGTGCTGTTTCAGACTTTTGCATTTGTTTTGTCTGCTTGTTTTGTTTTCCTGTATTCTAAAGGTTTTTTTTTCTGTGTTCTCCTTGCTTTCCTTGATCTTTGTGTCACTATGTTGTAGTTATCAAAAAATCATTCTTTTGATTTCCTTTTCAGTTCTATTATCTTTTTTCCTCATAAATGTTTTCTAGATCTGTATCTTGATCATTGTTTGAGCCATTCTCTCTTGTGTCTTTGAGCTAAAACTATCTTTTGTCTTTGGGGCATTGTGGGGTTGTTGTATTTGTTAAAACAGTACAGTTGTTGAACCCAGAAGGGAGAAATCTCTGGTGGGCTCGTGCAATTCAAGGAACTCATGAGGTGGTTGTGGAAGGGATGTGGCAGTTCGATGGACTGACTTCCTGTTGGCCTTGGTGTTATCTATGGTCAGGGCACTCAATCAGGAAGGAATTTGTGGAGCCCATTGATGGAACTGGTTTCAGGGGCAGCTGGGGCCAGGGTGACTGGTTAAATGCAGGTCTGGTTGCTCTGTGGGTTTTGTAGCTCTGGAACTGAGCCCGTTGAATTCAGGCACCAAAGCATTGTAGGCGGACCCCAACTCACACTGGTGTGGCTCCCAACCACGAGTCTCCAAACTCCCAGAGAACAGCATCTTAGCTGGTGGTGGATGAGGGTGGGAGCTGGCCACACCTCTGGTCACCTGGGGAGTGTGGGGAAAAAGCACTCACACCTTTCCCTGCATCCACACGAATCTGCTCTGCTGCCAAAACTGCTCACAAGACGGTGGAGCCGTGTCTGGCCAGCCGTTCCCCAGTCCTTCTCCCTCTTCAGCCTCTTCTCCCAGCAAGCACTCCATCCACCCCTGGAACCTTTCTTCTCAAGTTCAGGGTGCCAGAATTGTCATCTGTGTCTGTTTCATTTGGTCTCTCGTACCTTTGTTGTAGAGGGTCTATGTTGTACGTCTGTCTAGTTGACCATTGTGCTGAAAGTCCTCTTTATTGCCTTTAAAAAAAAGCTTTTTGTGAATTGAATTAAGATTTCCCTGATCATTGGTTTTACGTTCTACAGGTTATGTGCTTCATTTAATTTCAATAATTACAAACTCCTTAATCTTAATATCATTTATTTCACTTCTTCCCAGTGTTTTTTGTTTTCATTCCTCCTCCTCCTCTCCCAACCCTTCTGAGTTTTGCCCTTGGGTAAATGTTGCCCTTTTGATCTTGAATGTTGACCATTCTATGGTGTGTGTACCTCACTAATTGTTTCCAAGCATCCTCAGTTTTTTTTCTTCTTTCCTTCAGAAAGGGAGAGACCAATAGTTGACCACATAGATGACTACTCATGAGCTTTTTTTTTTTAATGCTTTATTGTGAATTATGTGATAGTTTACATGGGAGGACATCAGCTTCACATTGATCCTGTCTAATATTATTTCCTTGCCATGGTTACAATCCCCTTCATACATCATCCATCAACCAAAGGTTATACCCCGCAAGCGTGCCCTCTGGTTGTCCGCATACCTCCCGTCTCCCTCTCCGGACCCAAAGTCCCCAGCTGCTCCAGCTCCCCACGTCATCGTCACTGCCTCCATCGCTGTTCCTCTGGGTAGGGTTCCATTTCCCGTTCTTCTCTTTTGATGGTCCCAGGGACCTGCCTCCTAGACTGTAAGGTTAATCACTCCCCTCCCTTTGCCCTAAATCGTCTACCTTTACATTTCCAGCCCTCACAATCAGTCCTGATAACAATTATTCACTATTGTATTGCAAGAGACCTATCTTCATCGTCTTTCAACAGCCCTGACTGGGCAGAGTGGTTACTACTCAGTGAAGATTCTACCTTGCTCCAAGTCCTCTGGATCTAGGTTCCCTCTTGAAAGCTTGTAAGGCAGTCACTTCTTGTCTCTGTGCCCCCTACCCCCCATTTTGGGTAGCCAATGTCCAAGTTGCCCATCCCTGTCTACTCTGTGTACGGAGGGGGTGGGAATGATCCTCGCTGGGAAGATTTGTGCCCTCTTTTGAGCTACTGCATCCATAGGTGTAGGTCAAGTTCATCAAATTGTATCAGCTTACTCTTTTTTTCCTCTTCTTTCTTCTTCTGTTTGAGCTTTGATCATCCAGTTATTGAGGCCAGGTCAAGTGGGTATTATCTGCAAGTGTGGGTGTACTTATGCATGTGCCCTCTCTTCTTATCAACTGGATGCTTCACTCTCCTCTCTAGTCCTCTTTGTCTATGTTGCTGACTCTGGGTCCAAGAGTCCCCTGGACTTGCCACACTGCTGGCCATCCAGGTCTCCATCTGGGTTCACAGGAGACTGTTGAGCGTTGTAGGGCTTAGCTCGCAGCTTCATTGCTGTTTTTCCCTCACTTCCCCTTATCGGTGATGAACGTGGTCACCAATCAGAGCATGCATTCCCATTGAGCCTTAGTCTTATAAGGGGGTTTGCCCTGAGGGGGACCCGACCACTTGCCTTAATGTCTTCTGGGAGAGCCACTTGTTTGTTCTTGTAGTAATCTGTTGGTCTGCCTATATTATTTTGTTTTTTTTCCTGTCAGTCTTTCTTTCAGGAAGTATCTTCTGTTCTTCTGGCCACTCCAGGCTGGTTTGCTTGTCCTTTCAAGTGGAAATTTCCCCTCAGAAGATTCTGGATGCTGTTCAGGATTCCACCTATGGTCTTGTGTAATGCAGAGGCTCCACAGGAAGCCTCCTTCGCTAGGCACATTGTATCCCCATTTTAGGTATTCCAATCAATTATAGACAGAAGACTGCTTACAAGCTTTCTATGGTGGTATTTCTGGCTATTCCTTTCTCTCCCTCTCTAGTGTGTATTTTATAGTGGTATGCCAGGGAAACCAAGATTCAACAGACAGCCAAGCATTTTAACATTATTTCCCTCCTTTTCCCCATTCAAACCATGTCTCAATCTCAGTATCCCAGAGTCCTGTTCTTCCAAGGTTTTGCATACATCTTTATTTGTCTCTGTCCCACTTGAGTTTCATATTCATCTTATCGTGTTTCATTTCATTGCAATGATT